TATGTTTAACAGAAGTCTGGTTACCATAGCACAGTTTCATTTTTGTTTCGTTGTTTTTTAAAGACCAAAAGAAATTTGTGGATCACACAAAGTGTCGTCTCATGTGGGGATTGGACCCACAACACTCAGCGTAGCAGTAAGCGGCGTGGCGACCGCTTAAACCACTCTGTCTAGTTTGGATCAGACAGCCGTGTGTAAGACGTATGGAGGCTATATTAATAAATAAATAATCAAACAAAAAGCTTTCTAGTTGTATGTTTTCTTAGCAGTGTTCAGCAGTGTGACATTCGAAAACTAAGTCGTGCTATTTTCCTTATATTAATTGCTAATTGGAATTTCATGTGACATATTTAGAACAAGGAAATCCGAATTTTTAGTTTGGCGTTTATAGTTGCTAGTGAGGTTAACCAGTGTCAGTTACGAATTCGGAAGTAGTTAAAAATAAAGCTTACCAGCTGTACCCGGCGTGCGTTGCAATACCACGTAAAGTATAACGAAATATAATCATCATCATCGACAACCTTTAGTAGTTCATCAGAACATGATACTTTGGCAAAGTTCCATCACAATATGATCAATGATTTCGAAACGCTTAGAGTACAAACATTTAGTTTTTATTTATTCATATAGATAAAAATGACCTTCATTTTTTTTTAGATATACGGAAGGGCTCACGACCTATAGAAAAAATAAATCGGTCGGAAAAGCCTAGGCGTGCCATTAAACTCGGAATTCGTACTCATTTATTTTTAAAAGGACATTTCACTCTGACTGAACTGCTGCCCCCCCACCCGCAAAAATACAACACCACATCAACTGCGATGTTTAATTACAATCAAAACATACCACCATGAAACTAGAGTATTTTACCTCCATCATTATCTATATATATATGAGATTTCCACGTATATAGTCACTCATCACGATATCTCTGGAACCATTAGAACTAAAGACTAAATTTGGTAGGAATATTCTTTTAACCGAGTAGAGGTCAGCTAAGAACGGATTTTACGAAATTCCGCCCCCAGAGGGCTGTGCGGGGCGGGGGCGTTGAAAATTAAAAAAAAATTGGCAAAACAACGTTTGCAGGGTCAGCTAGTGGTTTGTTTGGTTGAACACGCTATTCTTAGGAACTGCTGATTCGAATTGAAAAATTATTTCAGTGTTGGATAGCCTTTTTATCGAGGAAAGCTTTAGGCTATATAACATCACGCTGCAACTAATAGGAGCAGAGCACCAATTAAACATGTTGCAAAAACGAGAAAATTCCTTCCTTTTCAAAGACCTTTTCAATAAAAATCTGTCGATTAATAGTCTTTTGAGATAGGTTTACGTTGAAGAATCCGATAAATAATAAAATAATTAACTTCGTTATCTAAACGTTTATTTATTAGTCACGAACTGTAGGATGTTATTTTACTACAGAGTGAAATGATTCATCTGTTGTTTAGGAATTGATAACCTCCCGGTTAATTAGAACACTGATTGAGTCACACATACAAGTAACTAGCAGATTGAACCATTAAAAAATATTCATAAGAGAGACGAAGCGATATAGAGTATTGTCTTTCTTTATAATGCTTTATGAAAAATGATTCTTTTCTTTTTAAAAAGTGTTTTATTTTGATCAACAAGCTAATTAATAGCTAGTAAAGAAAAAAATCGCAAAAATAATTATTCAATCAATACCTAAGTGGCATTCAGATGCATTTCAGTTTATTATTTTAACTTATTCGCGCGTAAATTAATAACAACTTCTTATTCGTTGTGACGTCATATCGATATTAAAAGCTAAATTGTTGCTATGTTTCATAATCTCAATTATTATGATTGGTAATGGAAATCCCTGTTTATCCTTGTAAAGAACTGTTATCCGTGGTGATTTTAAATCAAAATGCACGGAAGACAAAATCTTTGAAAAACGCAACAATTTTACGATTTGTCTTAGTTTTTTCTAACTTGTATCTAATGGTGGCTAAAGTATAAAGGTTTTTTTAACTCTAAACTTTAAAATTTTTATATTAAATTATACAAGTAAGTTGTAAGTCCTTAGTTGTTTTTTATCTTTTCTACAAATATGCAATACAGTACAATGCAATACATTACGACAGTTACAAAAAAAAACTAAACAAATTGTAAAATGTTCAGATTGCCTTTCGTTCCCTTAACTAAGTATCTTAGGACTATGTTTATTATTATTATTACTTTCGTTGAGTAAAATACCCTATCCGATCTAACTCCACTGTTAACATAATAGAAATAGTTGTCGTTTTAGTATGACATGAAAGCCCAAATTATTATATACATATATTTGCCACCATAATTGATTTCAAGAACCATAGAATGATTGATGATTCATAATTGAAAAGTGTCTGTCTGTAATGTCAAAATATTAGAGTTTTTCATGCTCATACGGTTATTTGCACGATACCTATGCAAAAAAACAGTTTTTTTTGTCTGTGTTTGTTCCGGGTAATCTTCTAAACGGCGGGACTGATTTTGATGCTATTTTACTCCCAGGTAGCTGTTTCTTCTAAGGAAACCCTAAAAAATTTTGCCCAGTTCTCAAATCGAACCCACTAAGGTGCTTTTCAAATTCCATGCGAACAAAGTAGCGCGTACCAGCTAGTAATATATACATATATTAATTTAATTAATTAATATTTATTAACTTAAGCTGTCGTTATCTATTGGTGTCGAATACTCATATACATTTGGTTAATTTAGTATTTTAGTACTAGTTAAAAGTTTTAATAACTAATGTAGCAAGTTTATCTGATCCGTTCTCATTTAAAACTAATTGTTTCCAGTTTATACCAGTTTTAATATGATCTAAAAAAATCGAGTGTACCCACAATTCTCCTTTCACTGTGATCAAGCCAGTTAGTGTGAAAATGCCTTTAGTGTAGCAAAATGATTCTTTAAACTTCTTCACCAGTTAAACTGTTTTTGTCTTATGGACTCTTATAGACTGCGAATAATAACAAATCAAACGGGCGAGTCTAGGTTAAGGGTAGGTTTTGTTTAATGTCCATAGGCACACATTTATTAACAGAAGGTTACTCGGAACAATAATATGATTATATCCCTACATTTGTATGGTGGAGCATTTTCTAAGGTAAACCCTTGAAACATAAAGCTGACGGCGTTGGCCTCTTGTAGTGATTAGATTATATGATTTATTTTCGTTGGATCCCAGATTTAGATCCCATTTTTTAGGTGTTAACGATGGTCCCATTTGATATTTCTATTGAATCCCATGTTGCAACAACATGTGTACAATTCCGAAGAAAGGTGATTTACCTTTATTAAATTAAAAAAATGTCCAACCAAAAAAAAACTACAAACCTGAAGTTTAATTTTTATTATATAATAAAAATAACTTGTTTCTTCAAACATTGATGAGCCCTATATGAAAGAACTGTACCACTTTTTCTGTCTATAAAATTCAAATCTGTTGTTTTACTTTGTAGTAGTACCTACAGGGCCTTTATTACTTTTTGCAAAGCACTTTGTCATTTTATCAAGTGTAGCACAAAATAACTACAGGCCCTTTATGCAATGGTTATGCGTGTTAATAGATTAGATAAACGTAATGACAAACAGAATAGTGATATTATAAGTGTTCAGTCAATATAAAACATACTCTCATTTTATTATAAACAATTTTGTTGTTGAAAGTATTTCTATAACAATTTTTTTATGCATTTGGGATCTCTTGCATTTTTAAATATGGGATCCAACGAAATAAACCAATTATATGTAGGTACAACAGATCGCCTGAAATTTGAATTTTGACCATAATTCATTAGCTTTAATTTCTTTATTGACTCATTTCAATAAAAAAATTAACAAGAACTGTCGAGTATCTTTACTTTTAGGTCCATCTTTGATACTTTAACTATTTCAAATTTCGCGTTTCTCTGTTTCAAAAGTTTCCCCAAAAATGTACAAAGAATTTTCTTCATTTTCACTTTTTAATTTTTAATGACGACAAACAGAAAGAAAAGTAAAAATAAATTTACACTAACTTATTTTTTTTTAATAATTTTGGCAGCAAGCTCTAATTCAGAACACCCTTAATGTATTCATGAATGACGTTGCGTAGATACCTCTAATTTCAACTTGAATACCTTTTCTAAATTGTATGAAGCTATTTTAGTCTGGCAGGTTGAATTCCCAGTCGCAATGTCAGACATTACAAATATAGCTTACTGAGGATCGTGAGTTTAGATAGATATTCTCTTTGGGGTTCTTTGATCTTTGTGAGGTAAACAAGCATTGGTAATTTTACCAAGTTTGCAGAATTTAGTTTTCGTCGGACTACAACACTTAATATGCTTATAGTAAGATAGAATCCTGAATTAATGTTTTTAGATTTAAAAAAAAACACGCTTTCTATAGAAAACCAAACTAAAAAATAGAAAATAAATTTGAAAAAAAAAAAAGCGTTGGGTGCCTGTTGTCAATAGTAAAAAGCACCCCACGATTTTTTTCAATATTTTTTTTTTTAATTTTTTAGTTTGGTTTTTTATAGAAAGCGTGTTTTTTAGTTTTTTTAAACAATATATATTTTTTAATTAGTGTATTGTCATCGGTCCTCGATATATCTACAAAGTTTGAACGAATTCTGACCGTTTAAATCACGCCCAAAGGAGTCGGTTACAAACATACAAACAAACATACAAGTGAAGCTAATATAAAGCGTGTAAAAAAGCATTTTGTGTCAGTAGGTAAACATAAAGGAGTTTTCTCCTGTTTGCTAACTGTTTTTTTTGTGTTGGAACTATTCATGATCTTTGGTTTTCAGACAATTCTTTTTAAATGGAAATAGCCAAGACAACAGTGGCGCACCTTTTTCACCTATGACAGTCAACGAGTTTTGCTATATTACATAGTCCCTTAGTCTAAGCAGCTGCAAAAGTTTACGTTTTAAACTCTCTAAGTATATTCATCGATTCTAGAACAGCTTTATAAGAGTATAATTTCTATTGTTACAGTCAATCATAGAGAAGTACTGCCCAGCAATAGCGAAGGGTGGTTTATCATGTTGCAACGGCGAACAACTGATCAGCATGAGCGAGAAAATAAAGTTCGCAGAGAACATACTTGGACGCTGCCCATCTTGTATGGATAACTTCTTACAACACATCTGTGGCATGACCTGCGGCGTGAACCAAAGCGAATATATTGATCCAGTAATTGATCCTTTTAACGGTGAGTTTTCTCATCTTATATATAAAATTCTCGTGTCACAATGTTGGTTACTATACTCCTCCGAAACGGCTGGACCGATTTTTATGAAATTTTGTGTGCACATCGGGTAGGTCTGAGAATCGGCCAACATCTATTTTTCATACCCCTAAATGACAATTGTGACCCACCCCTAATTTCTTTTTTTAATCTTTCCTAGAAATAATGTATATGGCAAAACAACGTTTGCCGGGTCAGCTAGTATTAAATATAATATTTGTGACCGGGGATCGAAACCTATGAGTCCTAAGTTTTATTCTATATGACCATAAATTAAACCTATAGAAAACATTTGTAGGGTTGAAAAGGCTGCGTTTTAAATTCACACTTACCTGCCTATTAACTGACAGTTATCGATAGAGATTAATAAGTAATAATATAAAATTAAAAATTTAAAAAACCCCCGACACACATCTCGGATTTGAAATTTGTAATATAGTATAGTATTCTACTAGTCAAGACCTTTCATTTGATACCCACATTGATGGAGTTGAAAAAAAATATGTAATCCAATATTTTGTGGCGACGGCCATCTTAGACCGATTTTCATCAAACATAGCTAAGAACACGCCCGACTAATTCACCTTTCAAACAAAAACAAAATCAAAATCGGTTCATCAGTTCGGAAGCTACGATGTCACAGACAGACACACACACAGAGACAGACACGTCAATCTTATAACACCCCGTCGTTTTTGCGTCGGGGGTTAAAAATGTAGTTTAAAATATTATACCACTTGACGGATGTCAGTTTATTCATCGCATCGGTTAATGACGTAACAGATCTGGCTAGCTTTTGCGTTTACAAAAAATGCAATGCAGCAATGTTCAAATGTATGACGGTTATTTGTGTTTTTTTTACAGCCACACACCATCAAGTTTCTGCTATAAGATATTTCCTCAGTATGGAATACATGCAGGCTACCTACGACTCTTGCGCACAGGTCAGTTATATTATTGTGTAAAATCTACTCAAAGACACTTTTAAACTCATAGGTTGTGCTTATACCTCCGGCTGAAAGTACTAATTACATACGAACTTAAGGGAATCTGGTCATTTTATACTACTTATTGGAAGAACATTTTTTACCATTTGTCGTTGTGAAAAAAGGTCCATGTCCGCTCCAAAACTTTAAAACCGTAAATCTTAAATAAATAGCAATGCTTCGGTATAAATGGACCGGGTTGACTCCGGCCAAGCCGGACCGGCGTGGAGGTGGTAACATTCCGGTGTACAACGGCTTCACAGAAAACCGGTGTAAGCATTCATTCTATGCTTTTCACCGAGTGAGAGAGGTTAAAGGTCGTAACCGACTTAAACGACTCCGCTACCACCCAACCAAAGTATGAGCATTTAAACATAGTTAACATCGTGCTCTGTAGACGCGCATTACAGTACAAAAAAGCTGACAGCGCGCGGTAAGCAAGAGGTAAGAAAGAAGAGCGGAGTCGTTTAAAGTCGGCTACGACCTTAAAGGAGCGCAAACCCTACGAGCAACAACGCACTTGTACCTAACTATTGAGCTGTTGTCGCTAGGCAGCGGTAGTCACTTACTATCAATTGACTGTCAATTCGTAATTCTTCACCACACGGAGAGTTGGATGCTCAGTGATATCTAATAGATATAAAATTGAGCCCCGCACCCTGATTAATCAGGTTCCAAGCTTTCGTGCTAAGCGATAATTTCTTGAAACCTTATTGGTCAGGCAGCGGGGCTTGATCGATGCGTCACTATTTTCTTAACGCGAATGGACTATACATACATATTATATATTAAAACACCCACACAATTTAACATCTATAAACAATAGGATTCCCAAGTGCCTAGCTTATCAAACACATCATTTGTAAGACTGTTGTTAATGCAGTCTAAACTTCATAATTTGTATTTCCAGGTGCAATTCCCTTCAACCAATCAAGTGGCTTTAGATTTGATGTGTGGCAATTATGGTTCGGAATACTGTACACCGTATCGGTGGTTCGAGTTCATGGGTGACGTCAACGTCCCCCAAGTGCCTTTCCAGGTCAACTACACCACGGAGCCGGATCCCGCTAAGAGTCTGACGCCGTACAACCCAGTAACAAGGCCTTGCAACATCGGCCCTCCGGTTTGTTTTTACATCTTATTATTTAATATTTTTTCATTTGAGACACACAAAGTAAAAGAGAGTGAGGGCGAAAAAGAGAGTGAGCGAGAGAGCCTCGGTAGTGAAAATGTAGGACAGTAAATCTCGTTTTGAAATTATAGACTATAAAATGTATGGTTTTTATGTACTAAAACAATCCTGTAAGTATAAGAAGTTTCTCAAGGCACCATTTTTATTAATGTTATACTATATTTAACACAAATTTTAAGTGTGTAATGTGTAAGCAAACACACGGGCTTATCACATTTTTTTAAAGGTTGTGGATTAGTGACTACTGCAAAGTCATGCACAGAGAATCATGTGAGTCAAGTGGTGATCTTACTAAAGATTAGATTATTGGGAGAGAATCCATTAATTCTGCAGCCTTAAAATGGGTTTAGGATGTAGTGAAATCTTATTCGCGTTGACTGGACGAACACGATTGAACATATCACGTAATGAATAGATGCTTCTGAAGATTAAAGCGATATCACCATTTAAACAAATTTGCAATTAATTTGTAATGTGTATATTCCTAAAGCTCAGTAATATCTTCAGGGTCAACCAGGCTGCTCATGCCTGGACTGCAGCGCATCGTGCCCCACGCCGCCTCCGCGCCCGCCGCCGCCAAAGCCCTTCAGCATCGGCGGAGCTGACGGGTACGCCGTCATCATGGCCATTGTCTTCGTCATTTTCTCCACTCTCTTCCTCAGCGGAGTCTTCTGTTGTAACCAACAAGAGAACACTGTCGGTACGTGACCTTTACTCTATTTTCTTCTCTTGACTCTGGTTCTTTAATATTTTAGATATGATTAAAAGGTTCGGTTTCATTATACTCGGGAAACACATAAAAAAATGCGTGAAGCTAATCTATTAAACGTTACAATTCACAAGAAAATTTTTTGATACAATACATAAATTGTATCTTATAATTAAAACTGTTAACGTAATAAGCAATAAATATTACAAAACGGTTTTCTGACAACTAAATAGAACAATTAACTATTTACCATAAACAAATTGTGAGCCACAAACAATCATCCATTCATCAATATACAAATTACAATGACACCGCACACAGATACGCATAGACATTGCTTTATAAATCACACGATAATATGTATAAATTATTATCTATTCAAAATAACAAATATTATTGTTTATTTAATTGGGATAAGTTATAGAACTATATTTTATTTAAGTAACTAAAACTTAAAGACAGGACTGATCGTGAATTTTTCAGAATTAACTTAACAAAAAAGTGCATACATTTTTACAATTTGTATTTTTTTTTGGTAGTCGAATTTCTTGTTAAACGACTTCAAAAAGGAGTTTCTCAATTTCAAAGATTTTTTGTATGTGAGTTACATTTATTGACCACAGTTTTCAGAATAAAAATCTTATAGCAGATTTATTGTCAAAACAAGAGATGTGCCATTTAGGGTATTAACGATTGTTTTATAAGCTATGTTAAGTTTTTAAGTTTGTTAGTTATTCTTATTAGTTATTATTCATAATTCATAATTATGATTGTTTATTATGTTAAACCCCTTTTCTAAAGAGAGGCCTATGTGTAGCAGTGATCTGTTAAAGAATCATATGAGAAAAAAATATGAATGTAAAATAACATTTATTTGCATGATTGATTGGCAGCATGATTGATTTTTTCAATTATGTCAAAAAGATAAGTATGTGTTCCCGATCAGTACCTGTCTAAAAAGAACATCAACGACTGAATGATGAACTAGCCTTTTTAACGTTTATTTCGTGACTTTACTATTTAAGTGAACATAATCACAAGACTTCTAAAAATTATCGTATCACGGAAAGGGCAAATTTGTAATAAACTTTTTTTCTTTGTTACACCTTTACTTTTTTATTCCATTATTTTTAAGAACAAAAAAAAAGTTGATTACGAAAACAAAAAAGGCGACCTGTTTTAAAAAAGCTTATCCTTTGTTACGTTACTAATTTAGAAGATTTGCGATTATGTAAATTTATTTTTTAGAGATAGTTTGGCGTCTAAAAACTAGGTATGCTAATGTAGTCTCCTAGGATCAAGGTTCAAAGTACAATCACACGATATACAATACTGTAAAGATTACGTCATAAGATACGTAACAAACTTGAGACCTGACACCCAAAAGTCGTGACAATCATTTAAACAAAAGGAAAAATATCTGGATGAAAGACCACCCCTATCACAAGCACCACAGTTAAGCTGTTTTAAGTCCTCTCGCCATTAATATACGATCTAATTTTCTAGCAATCTTAATTTCTGAAAGATTTAGGTAAACATGCCTGTGGAGGCAACACCCTTGGCCAAAATAACCTCGGCCATAAAACGTAGCGATCAATGTCTTTGATAAAAGCTTTGACTCATGTCATAATACTACGTTTATTTTTGTTATAAATATGAATACATTAACCTTTGCAAGACTGTAGCCAGCCACTTTAGTTTAAAGATGGTTACTTACAAGGAATTCAACTAAAACTGTATATTATTGACTGCATAGATGGCGTAATGGTTTAAGCGGTCACCTTGTCGCTTCCTACTGCGCTGAGTGTTGTGGGGTTGTCGCTTAGTAAAACAACCAAATTCTATTTACGGTATTAACCGAGTATATTTAAAGTAACACAATAGCAGGGTTATAATAAAAATTCCGAAAATCTAAATACCGCGATGTAGACGTGTACACAAATTGAACAGCGCCATCTAGTGACGGTAATGAAAATTACAAAAGATAAAACTTGCGTACAATAACCTGCTTGTACAATCCGCATACGGGACAACACTTCGCGTGATCCACAAATGGTTGTTCTGAGTCTGCTTGTTTTTATGTCCTTTTATTATTATTATTATTTAGATCTTTAGCTGCTGTTTGTCCAGGAGCTCTTGGATCAATATACACATTTACGCTCCTTAGCCCTTGCCTTTCAAAAGTATAAAAATTAACGTCACTAGACTGTTACACGATATTTCGTTTTTATCATCTCAAGAATTTCTTATTAACACGAAGTAATTAAGTTTTATGACGACTTTTGCATTTTTTATTAAATGTTTGTGATAGAAGTGGTTAGAACGTTCTAAGTAAGATTCTAAATATGTTAATTTAAACATTGTAAGGTGTTTAAAAATACGTTACTAGAATCTTACACGACATTTCGTAGTGGTTAGAAAGTTCTAGGTTATATAAGCAATCTAGGTAATACACGCAATAATTTTTTGGAATGTCTTTCCGTTTGTTTCGTATTGTATTGGTTAGTTTCTAAGACAGAGGGTCTATTAGACCCTCTAATCGATTTTCAGTTTTCTGTCTCTTGTCCTCATACTAAAACTTTTGGTATTTTCAACAATAGCGCATTCCGTTTTCATTTTCCTGACATACCTTCTTTCCGTTTCCCATCTGAAAATGATTTAATTTCAAAGTAAGTTTAACGTTAGGCACACGACCAGCAATGACATAAACTGGTTAAAACCTTTTTACTATGTTACACAAAGCGACAACAGCACAGATAAAAAAAGAAAATGATGATGTTTTAAAGTACCTAAAAATGTATATGTGTAAATGTGTTTATGCTCAACTTTTCCCACCACAATAATGATGAAAACATCCTTTGTAAATTCTTTGTATAAAAATATTCATATGTAAAAATACATATAAATGTGATACTAATTTGGTATATCCATATGTAACAAAATAGACGCACATCCTGCAGTTTTTTCTTTTAGAATAAACTATTTTATATATTACTTTAAAAATAATTATGTTAATTATCATTACTGCTAAGCTTAAACACTTATGTAAAAAACAGTATTAGATATGGTTCCAAACCACAAGTTAGTAATTAGCCAACAATCTAACCACAACATACTCCACAATAATTGCCTATGACGTGCATTCTTATATTGGAAAAGCTAGCTCTTTATGTATTTCCTCAACTTTATTCAAAATATAATAAGTCCGAATCACTCATAACATCGTCTGAGTGTTAAAATCCAGTGTAAATATGTCCATCTGTATCGGAAATAAGACGGAACAAACAGAATGATGGACACAAAAAAATATTTTAATATAGGTGCAACCATACATGTTTGAATAAGTAAATACGTACTGCAGTATGATATTATTCTTGTTTCAATAAAAAAAATAACTAGGGTGTGTCAGGATATGCGTTTATTTAGTATGTAGTGCATCGTTTACTCGGATATGAGAGTATAAGAGTAGTGAGTAAGGTAGAGAGACGGGTGCTAACAATGGTGTTGGGACAGAGGGCTGGGCGCGCGGAGCGGCTGCGAGGCGTGGCGGAGGCCCTGAGACCAGCCCGCTGCACTCACACCGCGCTAGTACGTACAACTATACCGTGCACTATTTGTTTATAAATATAAGCACTGGCCAGCTAACTTGCACGCGACAATGCGACATCATCCATGTGACTGTACTGTACGCTCCTTTGTTTGTATCATGTGTTTTCAGTTGCTGCATGTTTAGCTTTAAACAATGCTAAAAAGTTAATACAGAAAATATTTTGCGATTCGGTATGCATCAATTTATTTAAAATATCCCATTGTTTTAGGCATAATTTAAATACTTACACAATTATGCCAAATCAATATGTACATGATATATATAGTTTTAATCGGTGCTCTCCTTTTTTTTAAATTTAAAAAAGTGAATTTTATATGCAGGTATAAATAAAGGAAATGTTGTGTGATTTCAATTAAACATCGTAAAGTCGTCACCAACGTTAAAAAAAATTGAATAAACTTGAAATCATTATTTAAAACTATTGGAAATTCTGTTAAATTTATCACTCAAATAAAGTACCTACATGCAAAAAAAATATATCGTCTACATTGCTAACTTTTATACAAAAATTACTATAAATTTTGAGACGTCAATTTATATTTATTGAATATGCATCTATGTTCGATGGCACGAACGACGCACTTCTGGAAATAGTTCTTGTGGTTATCTCGTCTTTTTTACTATTAACAAAACTATTCCATTTGCGTTAAGAAAATAGTGACACATATATCAAGCCCCGTACCCTGACCAGTCAGGATCTAAGCTTTAGTACGAAACGATAATTTCCTATAACCTGATTGGTCGGGAGGCGGGGCTCGATCGATGCGTCACTATTTTTTTTTCTTAAAGCATTTGGGCTGTAAGACGATGACTATAAGAGTTTTTTCTAGAAAATTTTAGAACGTCTTGTAAAGTCTTTTATTTAGTTTTTATTTGTATAAGGTATAGACAAGAATCGTTTGGGGGAGGTTTTGTATATTGTCTTTGTTTTTGTTATAATCCCACCATTTCATGTATTTGTTAAAATCATAACATTTGCGTTGGTCCTTGTATAAATTAATTTGTATGTAATCAAATTGTATTGTTTTTTGTTTTGTACAGTAATTAATTTAATTTATTTAATTTAAAGTTCATGCATGTGGGTTTTTACCATATATACCTGATTTATAATGTTTTGAATTTTGTCCGTATTTAAAGATTTTTTTTACAAAAAATCTGTATTTATTTTTCCCCACATTTGTTAACTGAATCTCTTTTTTGTTAAATAGCTATTGAGCTATTGAGCTTTGTTAATAGACGAGGGAAAAATACTAGTTCTTTGATACTTAGCATTATTCTTAGTAAATGTAGTAAATTGTGTTCGAACTTGTAGGGTACCGAATTGCTTAAACTTTATAGAATCTCGATTTGATTTAAAAATGTGCTAAGAAAAAAAACAACAACAATCAATTATTTATATTAGTCAGACATATGGTATCATCATACATATTGGTCCACAAACATTCATGATTGAGGGGTAAAAACGGGGGTAACTGGTTATACCCTGGGGTAAAAGTTTTATTTTTGTGTCAACAAAATTCCACTGCATGGACTTAAATTTGTTTTTTTTTTCAAAATGTCGGTATTATTATAAATATTTAACTACAAATAGGTGTAGCATCGGAAAATAATCAAGAAATGGCAACGAACCCGAACTCCGCTGGCTGGACGATAGATCAACCAGATGGCGTTGGTGAAGCTACGTTCTTAGAGAAGTTAGGAGCCGAAACTGAAACGAGGATGGAAGATTTCTTCCAGTGGTGGGGCTACAACATGGCTTGTAGACCTTGGCTCGTGTTGTTCGTTGGTAAGTACGAGAAAGTTAGTAAATACATTTAAAGAGTAATTGTGGAGTACGAAGGCTTTAATAGGCCAAAACCTTCTTTCTAAGGACAGGCCTATGTCCAGCAGTGGACTATTTAAAGGCTGTTGATGATGATGATGACGAAGGCTTTTATTAATACTACCTGATGTTTAAATTGCACAAGGCTATATACATATACCTATATATGAATATGATATTAGGTTTCTTTTATTATTAAGTATTGGATATTAAGTAATGATAAATAAAATAACAAATGTTACAATACTTGTATATGGTAAGACAAATTACATGATTGTTGAAAGCACATTCATTATTTTAAAAAAATTACGAGGAGTAAAAAAATAAAATTACAGAAAAGAATGAGATGTCGAATAGAAACGTGAAAGTTCTGTACATTATGAAATCAATAATAGATGAATGTACGAAATACATTCGCAAACTGAAATATTCTACCTCCACCTCCCAAAACTATAATATGAATAGCAGTGACACCAAGTTATAATTGACTTTGAGTTTTATAATTAACCTTGCTAACTCCTTAGGGAAACCGACATGAAATTATAGTTTTTATTACGAATACAAGTTTAATTGGCACCAAGTTGTTAAGGAGCACGGCTTAGGTTATTGTAACACTATCTTTTACTATTGTTTTGTATCTTTTATTCGCTCCCATCCGAGTAATTATGTAGCTACCACGTGTACGGCAATAGCATTTCGATGTCACGCCAGAGTTATTTGATTCAGTAATTGTTATCTTGTATCGGGTTCAACGCGCGTAGTTCTCATTGTTGTGTCCCCGTGTCAAATATTCCCGTGTCTGTGTGTTTCTCTGCTACTTACCTTATTCTGCAAGCCCGCACCTCACTTACACAAATCGTAAAGAAATTATTTTGGTTTACAGGTCTCTGTATAGTAGTAGGATTGGGTCATGGTATTAAATACATGCAAGTGACAACGAACCCTGTAGAGTTGTGGGCAGCCCCCAACTCGCGGTCCAGAGTAGAAAGGGATTATTTTGACTCTCACTTCGACCCATTCTACAGGTAAAGTATACGCACTAAAATATTTTTTATATTATTAAGAAGATATAGGATAGAAGGAAAACCGTGTTAAGTTATTTGAAGGCCAGACGGCGAAGTGATTTGTGTAACGGACTGCTTTATCAAAAGTCCCGGGTTCGATCCCCGATCAAATCAAACATTGTGTGAATGAACATTTAATGTTTGATTAGGACTGGGTGTTTCTATGTATTATATGTATGTATTTACAAAAAAATATATATGTGTATTTATATCAGTTGTCTAGTACCAATATAGTACAATCTCTGCTTAGTTTGGGACTAGATGGAGTTGTGTGAATTTGGTGGATTATTATATAGACATCTATACAAATAAATAAAATTGAAGTCTGAATTGTTAAAATAATAGTTTTTTTTTCATGTTTACACGGTTATTTGCACGATACCTATGCCTAACAACCAGTTAAAATTTCTGGGTAATCTTAAAACGGCTGCACCGATTTTGAAAATATTTCACTACCAGGTAGGTTATATAAGGAGTAACTTAGGCTATTTTTCCTCTCAGAAAAACCTTATAAAATTTTGGCCGGTCCGGGAATCGAACCTGAGGTATCATGGACTGCAGTCGCGTACCGCACTACACCACTAAGGCAGCGCTTTTCAAACCAGTACCAGCTAGTATTATATTTCTGTCGCTGCTTTTTACCGAGCGAGAGCGTGAGCGAGAGAAAGTACATTAAAATTCCATACTAATATGTTTGTTTGTCCTCAGAACTGAGATGTTGATCATCACCTCCAAAGATCTACCCCCGATTGAACATCAAACACCATCCGGGAACATTTCATTCGGGCCCGTGTTCAATTCCAACTTTATGTTAGACGTTCTCGATCTGCAGAATAAAATATTAGGTAAGCTTTCAATTATCTGACCTTCTGATTATCTGACACAAACAAATGTTAATACATCAATTGCCACAGCTCTGGGTAACGAGACGGGGATCGAGGACATCTGCTTCGCGCCGCTGTCGTCTCCGTTCAGCGGGCCCGTGACGCCGGACCAGTGCGCCATCATGACCGTGTGGGGCTGGTTCAAGAACGACGTCGAAAACTTCGACACTGAGGATAACAGCTACCTGGACACCATTCTTGCTTGCTCCAAGTGAGTGTTTACTATTAACACAATCATTCAACTCCTATATTGTCTTGTGTAAACTGTATTTTACAATAGTTCATTCATTCGGTCAGCTGACATTTCGATCCAACTACGCTGACCGTGGTCACAGGTCATCATCCAATCTTTCGATTTCATTGTTGGACTCCAACTCACTAATGAAAGATTCGGTACAATACGACCGAACCGTCGAATAAATCACGAGTAAATAACAAGGGTTTAAAAAAAAAACGCTTTTAACACGTAAACTTCTTTAAATTATGTTTTTCTAATCTTGCAAGATTATTACCATACTGTTAACAACAGAACTGCTCGTTGGTTACAAGCAGTTTTGTTGCCATCACATATTCTTACATACTAAAGATTATGCAAGTTGTCGAAATTAATGGCACAGTTGGCTGTAATTAATACACAAGTTGACAGTGAATTCTAAATTTGTATGAAATGTTCGTCAGGAACCCATTCCTAGAGGATTGTCTGTCGAACTACAAAGGGCCGGTGCTCCCGTCGGTGGTGCTGGGCGGTTTCTTGAAGCCGGGCGAACCGCTCACCAAGGCTTCGCGCTTCCACGAGGCCAAGGCGCTCATACTAACCTTCCTTGTCAACAACAAAAATGATAAGCAAAAGGTATGTCTCTTGCCTCACTTCTAATAAATACTAAACCAATACGTAGGTATAGTCAATAAAAACTAAAAAAATATTTCATCAACAGCCTTTAATAGTCCACTGCTGGAGATAGGCCTCTCCTTAGTCAGGAGGTTTTGACCTACTATAAATATTTACATGTATATTATATTATTGTGTATGTATATGTTAGGAAGTAGGTTATATACCTACGTTGTTTGTCGTTATTTCTGTTGTTTTCTTTTTGTTTATGTACATAGTGTTTAATCCGTTTTATTTTAATTTAGAACTCCTAACTTTAGTGTAGTAACGCATCTAATCACTCATATCTAAACTTAAACCTAAAGTGTCAGAGAATGCGTACAGCATTAAGTCCACCAATTGTACATTTTTGTTTTGATTTTTATATCCCACTGATATTAAGATGTCAAAATCAAATAAATAAAAAAATAAAAATATTGGTGATGATAACTATTTTATCACGATACGTCTAACATATAAAAACACCATTATTTCCTTGACTTTTTTAACTAACGATTAGCTAACTATCAATAAAAAGCTTTTCTACAATACTGAAATATATTTATATTTATTATTTTATAGCTACTATAATAAAACAAAATACAAAAATCATTGCAGGACCACACTAGTTTAATAAAATATATTATTGATCAAAAAATCTTTCTAGGCTTTTTATATCAGTGGATAGCGATTGGTTGATGATGATAGGCTTTCATATCAGCAGCCTGTAATGTTTGTTTGTTTTATGGTATAAAGGGGCAAACGAGTAGACGGGTCACCTGATGGTAAGCAACTACCGCCGCCTATGGACACCTGCAACTCAAAAGTCACAAGTGCGTTGATGCCCTTGGAGTCCCTCCTGCTCGAGTCAGCGGGAGGGGGGATTTGGGCTCCGATAACCTCACTCACTCAGTGAAAGGCAACGAAAGAACTGCTTAACACCGGTCCTCTGCGAGGCCGTGGTATCAATTCTGTCGAGCCGGACCATTCGTGCCGAAGCATGGCTCTCCCACGGCTCCCCCGTAATGCATAATTGGTTGGCACATCACAATTAATTTCGATTTTCAGCTGGGACCTATGTTGAGATGGGAGAAAGAGTTTATAACCTTCATGAAGAACTACACAGAGACCCAAATGCCTCCGTACATGGATATAGCGTACACCTCGGAGCGGTCTATCGAGGATGAACTGGACCGGGAGTCTCAGTCCGACGTGTCTACTATCCTCGTTTCCTACTTCATCATGTTCGCGTACATCGCGATCTCCTTGGGCAGGTTCACCAGCTTCTCGCGACTACTCATCGACAGTAAAGTTACCTTGGGACTTGGAGGTGAGTCAGTACAGTTAATGTTTTTAATGATACCTAATGACACTGTTAATTGTGTTACCATGATTGAACATCGTTTCGCACTTTATCACATTCTGTTGTTTTCATTTAATTTGAGTTCTCGCAAATTATTAAAATACTCTTCCTCCTAGCCGTTTTCCCAAACTAGGTTGAGGTCGGTTTCAAGTCTGCTACGATTCGACTAATCTTCGATCTTTTAAGTGGAGCGACTACTATCAGACCTCCACAACCCTAGTACTAGGCAATATCGAAGTTCTGTAGAAAGAATATTGTTAGTTTTCAGGGCAACTACCCGTAACGATTGCTACAGATGTTGTTATGGCAACCGGGACCGAAGGCTAACGTGTTCTCCGAGGCAAGGAGGATTCTCAATGTCTTAAGAAACGGTCACCCATCCATAGACTTACCTGGTTACGATTGCTTAACTTTGTAATGTGTTACATTCAAAATACTGTTATTACATTACCCTATCAAATCTTGTGTTAAAGAACTACACTTAAAACTCAACGAGTCAGTAGTTAGTTTTAACCCCTCCCCCCACCCCAGATTCAGGGAGAGGGGAGTTTAGGGCTTCGGTAACCTAACACCTAACACTCACTAGATGAAAAGCAATGAAAAATTGCTGGTTTTAGACAAGGAAATTATCGCTACCTTTAAATCATATTCATTTGTTGAAATTATTGGTGTTAGTCACAGCTATTTCAAATGTGATTGTGATTTCGTCATAGACAAAGATAAAACAAATATAAAACAAACTCTAAAAAAGTCAATCTTTTTATATTACGTACGTACAACTTTTTTTTAGATTTAGACCTTTCGGTAGCAGTGGTTTTGTAAATTAGTCACGGGTAAGATGATATGATTTGTAAATCATATAGTTTATCACATGTGATTGTGATTTTATTCCATCCCTAGTTTTGAATGTAGCTCTCATTCAGCTCTCACCTCATATCATGTATTTTCATAAATGTATTTATTACTCCAAAAATAAGCGACTGTATCTTTTATTTTCAGGTGTGTTCATCGTGTTAGCATCGGTGGTATGTTCCGTGGGTATATTCGGTTTCGCGGGAGTATCTGCCACGTTGATCATCATCGAAGTGATTCCGTTCCTGGTGCTTGCGGTCGGCGTCGACAACATATTCATTCTTGTTCAAACTAACCAAAGAGAAGGCAGGAGACCGAATGAGACTGTTGCTGAACATATTGGTAGAACGTAAGTATTCATTCAATAACATTATTCAAACAAATTACTTAACAAAAATGGGTTCATAAAACGGCAGTAGCAAGTATGTTTATAATGGTCCCGTTACTTAATCCATACTGGATATATATTCATTTATACATACACAATAGTTGTCGTATTACAACTTGTCTGACAAATATTTCATTATTAAAAAACTTAATCAATTTGGATTACATATGAGACTTTACTTAACCATATTTGGCTTAAAACCTCAAAAATATCAAATTCGCAACAGGCAATCTAAAATTCGGAAGTAATTTACTGAGACATTCAACACATTTTCTAAATAAAATGTTTGCTTGAATTTGTGTGCTACCTGCTCTCGGGATATGAAGGTAAGCCTAATTTCTTTTACGAAACCATATCGAGCACTTCCGTTTGGTTACGGATTAAGAATACGGAGTGTCACCACCTCTATTCATCCGGTTAGGGCCGGCTAAGGGAGCAAAACTACGCAGGACAACAGCACTGCAAGGAGGGAAAACTTGACTCTACTCTACACCAACCCGTCTGGTTAGCGTGGTATAGTAGACCAAAATTGTATTACTACACTATTTTTGTACTGCAAGAGAGACCGATTCGAGCACTTTATAATTTAGGCAATCGTTGTTCATTGAGGAAGAAATTTAAAGAAATAAACATAATGACAATGGCAAGTCAATATATTTATGTAAATGTAATGAAAATGTATGTTCATAAAAAACAAAGATAGCTTTTTGAAAAGAAGTGATGTACATTCTATAAATACCAGATATAGAAGTAAACTTGTAGTACCCGCTTTTGAAGCCTAGCCAAAAGATAAACACGTCTTTTCGATGTTAATGTGTCCAATTTTATAATAAAATCTTAAATAATATTCAAGAGTTTAAATTTAAATCCGCAATAAAACGTGGATTGTGTCAAAGGGCGTATTACTCAGTTGTGGATTACATAGAAGACAAAAATGCTGGGGATTACTTAGCGCAGGCCAATTCTTAAGTAAAAATGTGGTGTGGGCCAGTGTGTTTGACTTTAGACTTTAGTCTACATAAAAGACGATTTCAAACAATTTTAATAATATTATGAAATACAGAGAGTTTGAGTTTGAAAACCTCCTTTGTAAGGAGAGGCCTATGTCCAGCAGCATGAACTATTAAAGGCCGTTGATGAGATGTGATCGATCACTAACCTAAACAACGAATTTATTAATAGGTTGTGATGATTGTGTATTATTATACTTAAAATATTTGCTTTTTAATTTAATCCAGACAATTGTTTGGATTATAAGTGGATGAAATGAATATTTTATAATGTGAGCTAACAATTGAAACTATCGCATACTGTATTAAGATTCTTATAAGAATTTATTGATAAAAAAACTTTAGATCCCATTAGAAATAAAAAATGTGAAAATGTTGGCAATTTCACTCACAGAAATTAAGTTAGGAAATTCTATGTTAAAACTGTCAATAGAGGAACCTTTGTCAGTAGAAAATTATTCTCAAGATGGAGTGTATACACACAGTTTATTAACAAGACCCGTATGTTTACAGCCTCGGCCAAGTGGGTCCATCGATGTTCCTGACGTCTGCGTCGGAGTCGGTGTGCTTCTTCCTGGGCGCGCTGAGCGACATGCCGGCCGTGCGCGCCTTCGCGCTGTACGCGGGTGCCGCGCTGCTCGTGGACTTCCTGCTGCAGGTCACGTGCTTCGTGGCGCTGCTCGCCATCGACACGCACCGCCAGAACGCGAACAGGTCAGTACAGTGTAGTACCTTCAGTACAGCACGGCACTTCCTGCTGCAGGTCACGTGCTTCGTGGCGCTGCTCGCCATCGACACGCACCGCCAGAACGCGAACAGGTCAGTACAGTGTAGTACCTTCAGTACAGCACGGCACTTCCTGCTGCAGGTCACGTGCTTCGTGGCGCTGCTCGCCATCGACACGCACCGCCAGAACGCGAACAGGTCAGTACAGTGTAGTACCTTCAGTACAGCACGGCACTTCCTGCTGCAGGTCACGTGCTTCGTGGCGCTGCTCGCCATCGACACGCACCGCCAGAACGCGAACAGGTCAGTACAGTGTAGTACCTTCAGTACAGCACGGCACTTCCTGCTGCAGGTCACGTGCTTCGTGGCGCTGCTCGCCATCGACACGCACCGCCAGAACGCGAACAGGTCAGTACAGTGTAGTACCTTCAGTACAGCACGGCACTTCCTGCTGCAGGTCACGTGCTTCGTGGCGCTGCTCGCCATCGACACGCACCGCCAGAACGCGAACAGGTCAGTACAGTGTAGTACCTTCAGTACAGCACGGCACTTCCTGCTGCAGGTCACGTGCTTCGTGGCGCTGCTCGCCATCGACACGCACCGCCAGAACGCGAACAGGTCAGTACAGTGTAGTACCTTCAGTACAGCACGGCACTTCCTGCTGCAGGTCACGTGCTTCGTGGCGCTGCTCGCCATCGACACGCACCGCCAGAACGCGAACAGGTCAGTACAGTGTAGTACCTTCAGTACAGCACGGCACTTCCTGCTGCAGGTCACGTGCTTCGTGGCGCTGCTCGCCATCGACACGCACCGCCAGAACGCGAACAGGTCAGTACAGTGTAGTACCTTCAGTACAGCACGGCACTTCCTGCTGCAGGTCACGTGCTTCGTGGCGCTGCTCGCCATCGACACGCACCGCCAGAACGCGAACAGGTCAGTACAGTGTAGTACCTTCAGTACAGCACGGCACTTCCTGCTGCAGGTCACGTGCTTCGTGGCGCTGCTCGCCATCGACACGCACCGCCAGAACGCGAACAGGTCAGTACAGTGTAGTACCTTCAGTACAGCACGGCACTTCCTGCTGCAGGTCACGTGCTTCGTGGCGCTGCTCGCCATCGACACGCACCGCCAGAACGCGAACAGGTCAGTACAGTGTAGTACCTTCAGTACAGCACGGCACTTCCTGCTGCAGGTCACGTGCTTCGTGGCGCTGCTCGCCATCGACACGCACCGCCAGAACGCGAACAGGTCAGTACAGTGTAGTACCTTCAGTACAGCACGGCACTTCCTGCTGCAGGTCACGTGCTTCGTGGCGCTGCTCGCCATCGACACGCACCGCCAGAACGCGAACAGGTCAGTACAGTGTAGTACCTTCAGTACAGCACGGCACTTCCTGCTGCAGGTCACGTGCTTCGTGGCGCTGCTCGCCATCGACACGCACCGCCAGAACGCGAACAGGTCAGTACAGTGTAGTACCTTCAGTACAGCACGGCACTTCCTGCTGCAGGTCACGTGCTTCGTGGCGCTGCTCGCCATCGACACGCACCGCCAGAACGCGAACAGGTCAGTACAGTGTAGTACCTTCAGTACAGCACGGCACTTCCTGCTGCAGGTCACGTGCTTCGTGGCGCTGCTCGCCATCGACACGCACCGCCAGAACGCGAACAGGTCAGTACAGTGTAGTACCTTCAGTACAGCACGGCACTTCCTGCTGCAGGTCACGTGCTTCGTGGCGCTGCTCGCCATCGACACGCACCGCCAGAACGCGAACAGGTCAGTACAGTGTAGTACCTTCAGTACAGCACGGCACTTCCTGCTGCAGGTCACGTGCTTCGTGGCGCTGCTCGCCATCGACACGCACCGCCAGAACGCGAACAGGTCAGTACAGTGTAGTACCTTCAGTACAGCACGGCACTTCCTGCTGCAGGTCACGTGCTTCGTGGCGCTGCTTAATGCCTTGTAAAATACACTAACTTTTATACTTTCGGGTTTATTAACATATAAAAATGTATAAGATTAATGACCATGTCCAGTGCAGCATATCTATTAGTCAGTAAGTAAAATAAGTAAAGCTTTAATAATTTAATACCCGTTTATTAGTAATAATTATAATACCTTTTGCTTATTGCTTATATTCCGGTACTTAGCTGTTACTTTTGTTGTCAGGTTCGACGTATTCTGCTGTGTACAAGGCACTAAAGCAGAGACAGGCACGGAAATCGGAGAGGGAGGGCTGTACAACGTGTTCAAACACGTGTACGCCCCCTTCGTGATGAAGCGTGAAGTTCGAGCCGCAGTTATGATCATTTTCTTCGCCTGGCTTTGTTCGTCTGTAGCCGTAAGTATTGATATCATGTCTGTAATACTAGACTCTCCTATGAAACTTTATATATTTAAATACAAAACTCATTTGATGCTGTCCCATCGTCTTATATATAAATAAAATCTTTTGTAGGTCGCTCCACACATAGAAATAGGTCTCGACCAAGAACTGTCGATGCCACAAGACAGTTTCCAACTGAAATACTTCCAGTTTTTGAACCGTTATCTAAACATTGGCCCTCCTGTCTTCTTCGTTGTCACCGAAGGGCTCGACTACTCGGACCGGAAAACTCAGAACATGATATGTGGTTCGAGATACTGTCGACCTGACAGTGTGTCTATGCAACTGTACACTGGTAAGAATTTATTTAATGTTGTCAAATATATTTTGTATATATAAATTACTTTTAAAGGTAGTTTGAGAACCGGTATATTATAATCCATTCGTGTGAAAATAGTGACGCATGGACCAAGCCCTGCATCCTGACCTATCATGTTCCAAGCTTTCGTACGATACGATAATTTCCTTGCACCTGATTGGTCAGTGGGCGGAGCTTGAACAGTGGCGTCACCATGGCGTACAAATTTATGAGTTGTATAAAGTTACGAATTCCTTTATAACTAAAATTGTCCTTTTGAATGTGAATGTCACACATGTATATGACAAAAGAATTGTAAGTTTCTTATGAATTAAATAATGAAACTAAAAACACATTGACATCTTACACTTGGCTGTCTGATTGCAAAGTAGGCAGAGCCTGTTCTATAGTATCCTGACTATTGATAAAGAAAGTTATCTATTACTAAATACATACTCAGTATAGACAAATTACACCCACACACACACACAACAAATGATCATGCTCATCACACAATAATTTGTCCTGGTTTGGAATCCAACCCCTCGGTCTCGGACTATTTTCATTCAAATACTAACCATTTATTGCAAGTTTTATTTCATAATTAGCTTAATTGACTTTATTTTCTCTACTGAAAATAATTTGTATTTGTTTCATACAGCATACCTTAATCAAAACGAGACGTACATAGCGCAGCCGCCCAACTCTTGGCTAGACGACTTCTTTGACTGGAGCTCCCTATCTAGTTCATGCTGCAAATATTTCCCATCCAACTCGAGTTTCTGCCCAAGCGAGAGTGAGTATATATATATATATTTTTTTTTAAATTTAAATTGTAGGAATTCTTTCTTCACTGTGACCCATTGTGGTTGTATTAATGAGAAATGAGGAGCATAACTGACGCAAAAAATTTAATAAAAACAATCTTTGAAGCGGGTTGTGTCAAAATTTGTGCTCAATCAGATATTTTTGAGTTTTTGAAGCGTTCACAAACCAACTTAATATTTAAATATACAAATAGATTAAATGCAAAAAATGTAGTGCGTTGAATCTTTTGATACTATTAAACCTTATGACCATTTTTTAAACTGTCTTTCTATCTAAAGACTCTCCTCGTTTCTGGCAGTCAATCCTTTAAATGGAGATATCCCTAAATATCTAATATTTTTTGTTTTTACAGACATAGGCGATTGTAAGTTCTGCAACATCTCACTGAAGGGCGAAGAAAAACGTCCGAATGCTAGTGACTTCAGGCACTATGTGCCTTTCTTCTTGCAAGACAACCCTTCACCTGACGCTGGATGTGTCAAAGGAGGTCACGCAGCTTACGGGCAAGCGGTTAACTACAAAGTAGTTAACAAAACGAGCAGTAAAATAGGGGCAACCTATTTCCAAGGATACCATACAGTACTTAAAAGTAGTCACGACTATTATTCATCTTTACGTGCTGCTAGAGACGTGGCTGCTAACTTGACGGAAACTTTGAATAAAAATCTTCGAGAACAAGGAAAGAATACTACAGTGAATGTGTTCCCGTATTCAGTATTTTATGTATTCTACGAACAGTATTTGACCATGTGGCCGGATACGCTGAAATCTATGGGAATATCGGTGCTGTCTATATTCATCGTCACTTTCTTATTAATGGGCTTCGATTTGTTTTCGGCATTGGTGAGTAAGAAAATATTGATTAACTAGTACATTTAGTTGTTAATATTTGAATCATTTATTGTTCAAATAAAACGAAATTTATACCAAAACATATTTAAGTAATTAATGTAAGTTTAATAAACTAAATTTGTTTTTAAGGTGGTTGTGATTACCATAACAATGATTGTTGTGAATCTCGGTGGACTCATGTACTGGTGGGGTATCAGTCTCAATGCCGTCTCATTGGTTAACTTGGTAAGTTCAATTTAGATTTAAAAAATGTTTCCAACTATATAAAACTTTATCATGTTTAGGAGAAATGCACACCAAAAATATTATGATTTATAAGATGCTTTAGATTCGTTTTGTATGTAGCCATTAGGATTGCAATTGTAGTTTCAGGAAAGGTGGTATTACTGTTTTAATTTATTGACTTAATTTTTTTGCTATAGAATTCATAGAATGGACATGATAATTTAGTTGTAAGAGTTCCACAGGGTTCCATTTTAGGACCCGGTAGATATTTTTGTTTAATATTTGTAACTAGAAATTAGGCACAGAAGTAAATGTTTAGATTTCCTTTTATCGCCTTCACCCAAGAGTATCGCGTAAAGTGAAATTAAAATGAGATCTATTACTTAAAACATCTGAGTTTTGGAGTAAATTATTTGGAGACGGATCGCGTTTAACAACATCCTTTGCTATGTGTAGGTGATGGCGGTGGGCATCGCGGTGGAGTTCTGCTCGCACATCGTGCACAGCTTCAGCGTGGCGGGCGGCGGGTCGCGCGTGGCGCGCGCCACCGAGGCGCTCACGCGCATGGGCTCCTCCGTGCTCTCCGGCATCACGCTCACCAAGTTCGGCGGCATCATCGTGCTCGGCACGGCCAAGAGCCAGATCTTCCAGGTACCGCCCGCGCGCCGCCCGCTGTCCGGGCTCTGTCGCCATGTCCCGCTCTGTCTCACGCCTCCTCTCTCCCGCAGGTGTTCTACTTCCGCATGTACCTGGGCATCGTGGTGCTGGGCGCGGCGCACGGGCTCATCTTCCTGCCCGTCATGCTCAGCTATATCGGTGAGTGCACATACGGTATACTTCTATATACTTGACGAGACCTTATACCTTAGTAGTCGCATTGAAACGTTTAACGAATACTCTTTTAACGCTTTATGTCTTGATAAAATCCTAACATATATGTATATTATTGTAATAGTTAAAATATAATTCAAAATATGAACAGTGATATTTCGGTACTTTACACTTTAGCACTTTAATAAGTAAGATCGAAATCGAAAGACAGACTAGAAGGATATAATGTGACACAGTCTGCTGCATTTGTTCGGTATAAAGTTGTTCTACTGCTTTTTAGAGTACTTACGTACGTTAAGGTATTTACGCACTTATTCTAAATAAAACGATATGAGAATGAAAGATTTTGATGGCGACAAAGCAAGTAAAGTTAACTCGAGTACCATATGGTGATTACGGATAATAGCTGGCATATGCGTCATGCTTGTGAAGTGCTGTGAATCGAGACAAGCATAACCCAAGCATAATCTCGCATTTAATTTGAGCTTACAATATTATGTTGAAAGAGAGTTCTTCAGAAATAAAAGTTCTTAGATTTTGATGCCTCAAAAAATAACTTACATTTGATAGTATCTACTATAGGAATAGACAAAAGCTTAACTTTTGATAATTCAAAAGTAGTTTAAATTCAATTCAGGTGTCAGGTCTCGTTATTACGCTCGTATAAGTATAGTTACACGTCACAAGTTTTTTTTTGTTCCGGATATGCATGCAACTGTTTCCGTTTATATTGCACATGTTTTGTTCAACTCGCTTGTATATTGGACCTTTTCGCCGTTTATTTTTTACATTAGTCAATTTATTTGTATTATTTTCGCCACCTTTTTAACCCATTGATATTGTTGGTACTAACCTAATTTATTGGGATGTTAGCGGATCATTTGCGCTTACGCAAGGGTAATTTATACTAGCATACGATTTTTGATTACAGTACTTCACAACGGTATACTCAGATGTTTCCTAAATCATTTAATTCCTATCTTATTGAGGAAAATCCATCGAAGATATTGCCATTTAAATTAATGCTAATAGTTCAGCTTTCCCATCGTGATCACGGGATAAATTAATCAGATTACATTATGATCTTTACCACGATTACCGTGAAATTTCACAAAGAACTTTTTGATATAAAATTGTCTGTGAGATTAGTCAGAACTTTTTAACTTTGCTACCTTCTGTTTATACAGTATTTGCGTTTTTTCGTAATCATGATACCGCTTCAGTTTTAACTGGTTCATTAAAGAGTCGATTCGCATTTAATCGCACGCCTTCTGGACTGACAAGTTTATGTCTTAGTAATTTGCATAATTCATTTTATTATTATATTTATTTGAAAATTAATTTACAAACATTATATATTATGTCTGAATGAGTGTAAACACATGGTATGCTGTTTTCGTATTATATATTGCTTTTTATCCGTCACCTTTTTTTTTGTATAAAAACTATTTTTATTTATGCATTGAGAGCTTATATTATTATGTTAACAAATCACAAAAAAAAGAAAACATTTGTCACATAAACCACAACTTGCTTAATACATTGTTCAGAAGTGTGTGTATAACGAGATGTTAATATGCATGTTGAAGCCAAGAGTTGAGCCGTCAGGCAGGTGATCGAATCCATCGTTTCAGGTTCGCCAGTGAACAAACAGAAGCTCGCCAATCAGATGCTGCGCGGCAAAGACATGGCGGTCGCGGAGACATCGTTGACTCGAGTAAGAGCCGCCAACGGAAAAACTTACACCCAGTATAATTTTAACACGCTTCCCGCCTGAACTTGTTAAAAGCGAGAATGAATACACTACATTTTTACGTATAAGAATTCTTTAATGAGTCGTTTACTACTACTATCATAAAATATTGATGTAGCATTGGCGACCAGTGATAGTAATATTGAAATTGTTTTTTAATCAATTAAGATTTTAGATGCACTATTAATCAATAAGTTTGATTTAATTATTTAATCCTCATTTTTACTCTAATATTATTTTGTTCTTTAATACTGCAATTAATCTATTGCAATTTCTGTCTATACTGGTCTTAACAGCTTGTATTAATCAGCCGTGGAAACAGATATTTGCTCTTTAATATGTTCATTCTCGCTGCAAGTTCCGTACTAACTCATCGGTGTAATGTGTGAGTGGAAAGGTACTGGAAGACTCGCTAGCGATCCATAATCCCGTACGCATACCACAGGAATACAGTCCACATAATATTTGATTGCTAAATGCCTTGAAACACAAACATTCTTGTGATTTTATACGAAAATTATAAAATAAATTGAGATTATGAGATGCAGCTATAGTCTTTTCTGCTATATGTTTGGTGAATATGTGACACATGAATATATAATGGTACATATATAGGTCACAAGAATGTCAGCGTGGGAATATGGTCTCTTCCCATTAATATAGTTGAAAGCATTTATTGTATACATCGGTATTTGCGATTTTGAACTGGTTTTCTTACTTTAGAAGTTTTTTCAAACACCAATAGTAATCTTTTGTAACCAAGCATTGTATGTGAGTGACCTTTACTCCTCGCGACGCCAAATCGCAAATATCACTTTAAGGGGTGGGCTTCTAACCAAAATGGTTGACGGGACACCCTTAAATGTTTAAATTATAACGAATATATTTTATATTGTAATATGCATGTAACGATCGTTGTATTTGTAGCTGTGTTTTGGTAACGATCATTCCTAATGATTTCGAATTTAAATTTTTATTTTATTTATTTATTCGATGTGTATATTTTTTTTTTGTGTCACTGCCTTTGTGTGTCGCACACTGCTAGTGCTTAGCTCTCAATAGATTGTCTTTAGGCACCGCTGTAATCCTACAAAAATATAACGAAAGTATATATAACACGTCATAATAACGGATGAAATTCCGACTTTTGTAGTCAATTACTAGTAAGAAAGACTCATTATTACATTATAGTACTTATGACCCAGTACTTAAAGTTGAGGGCAGTGGTGAAGTTAATAACGAACGTAATATTATATATATGTTGTGTACATTTTATGTTCGATGTAATTAATATCATATGTCATAACTAACATCAAGTTCACGCTTAGTAATGTATATAATCGAAGAATATTTTATATAGCTAAGGTTTACGAACTACAAGCTTTATTTTTTTTAAACAAATGTATGATAAGATATAAAAGCGAATATATTTATTTGACATATATATATGTTACAGGATTTCATTAAAGCCTAGTTATATCTTTGCTAATGGAATTTGGAATATTACGTCTAAGTTAATAAGTAAAGTGATTGATTCCATTTATGAGAGTCTAGGTATATTTTTTTCTGCACGCTTTATAGTAGACTAGTATGATTGAAGTTATTTATTAGTTCATTCTGTGTGAGAAATTGACATATTTCAACCATTACACATAAAAAGTAGTTGAATTAATTATTTATTGCAATAATTTATGAATTAACAAAATTGATGTAGGTAATGTTAATTAATTTCAAATAACTTTTCTATGGCTGTTATACATGTTCAGTATTAAATATTATACATTTTGATTAATATGTCTAAAGTGTGTTCACTTTTTTTATTAAAATTAGTATATTTATAAAGTAGTTAACAAATAATTAACAAGAAAATAAAGAGATAAATAAAACTATGTTTAAAATGGAAGGTAGTACATTTGTACGTTAACATTACATTTTAAATTGTTTACCAATTTACTTGTTCCAGTATAATGATTTAAATACTATTTCATTTATTTACACACAATATGTTGCTAGCTAGAACTAACCCATAGACTGCATTTCTTTACGAAACCATATTTTTAAGAATTTGAATGTTAATTTAAAAAGAATACATATGTGATAAGATCAAAACTAAATATGCAACCAAAGGTATAATGTAGGCTGGAGAAATGTGTAATTTTTAATCAATTATTGTCAATTTCTCCACATCACAAAATAGACTTTAGTAGAGCACTTTGTATTGGTTCTTTATTTTATTTTTTAAAACTCAAACTAACAAAGGTTTAAATAAGTACTAATTCTGGTATAAGCTGTCTTCTGGTGTTGGTCTAGCTCCTTCATTATTAGAAAGCTTTTAAATGTAAGGGGCCATCTGTTTTTACAGGTACGTCTGTAAAACGACAAGGAAATTAAGAACAAATTCTATTTATTTTAGTTCCAATATTGGTTATCTTTAATTTTATATAATCTGTATTATGATTGTGATTCTTCAGAGATTTCGATTATTATAAGACCCCTCTAAGTTCCTATTAAAGATAGCTTGTAGCATTTTGTTCTAATCGTATCTGGATTAAATTGTTAAACAACATAGGAATCTCCTACTTATTGTTAGTACTTAATTTAGAGGGATATAGTTCTGTAATCACAGGTCTCTTTCTTTGTTAGACGGCTGTTGTGATGATAGAAATAAATTATGTTTTTTTCATTTATTCTTTTTGTTTTATTTTATAGTTGTAAAGCACCTATGCATGGTATGAGTGCACTGCTCAGTGTTGCCAGGTACGCATTCAGTTTATGCATGTAAATGTCATTAGTATGATGAGTTTAGTGAAGTTTGTAAAAATATTTAATTATACTTGTTTTAATTCAGCATATTTATTAGAATTGGTCATCAATAATTCAGATGCATCGCAAGCATGGTTGACAACTAGTATCATCAGTTAAATAATCATCACAAATTAGAGCTATAACCATAGTAATAGTATTATATATGTAGGCAGTAGGAGAAAGGTCCAACATACAACTTTCAATGAAAAATTAATAAACTATGTATACTTTTTTTCTTATGCCTAAGGAGCTTCTCAGTCCGACTCAGAACGTAAGACTCAAATTTTTTTTTACCAAAAAAGCACTAATCACGTAATTTGTTGCAGTACCTATACTTGTTGATGTGCACAATATTTACATACTTATAAATTCATGTTATTAAAAAAATATCCAAATCGCAAGTTTTTTTTTTTTAAATTGTGCACATTTAAGGCTTTAGAGACCGTGAAGGCGCATTATTTTACTCTTAGAAGTTTATAGAAATATTGATAACACTACATTCACCCATACACGTAAATAAATATCACTAAAATAATTTTATTCAGACTATTGATTAACATTGGATTTACGTCAATCTAATAAAATATAACTACATAAAGATGTCATTTATCCAAGTCTAATTTGACACAAATATAATACTAATTTTGTTGACAGTTACGCCATCTTGGAAAAGTATTTCAATTCCACTCAATATAATTTATAACAAGCATTGTACTTGTTTAATTGATAATTTGTCTATTCAGGAATATACTTCATTTATAAATATTTATATTCAGACAATAATATTAGGATATATAGACAAAAATATTTGAAATAATAGTCAATAAGTTGAGTTAATATAAACAAATTATTTATTAGTTAGTTATTATAACAAGTTATTGGTCATATAGACACAGGTTATATTATTAGATCCTATGCATTAATTTTGTAAGTAAATAAAAAATCACTCATCCATGCTTGTTAACACGTTTATTAAGATTCTAATTACTGCATGAATATCTGTGTTTTATATCAATCATTCGATGTTACGATAGCTGTAATATTTGGCATGAATATTTCAGAATACTCAAGATATACGGTCCTGTAGGGTGTATTATATTACTTTATAAATGTAGGTGACATATCGTGCGTTGGTACACGTGAATGTGATGATGAAGTGTTGATGTTGTCAGGCATAACCCGCTATCGGGGACGCTGGCGAGTGCAGTCGCGACGCGGTCCCACCTACGGCAGTCTAGACACGACGCCGATCGAGCCCCGCGCCTCACACAGCGGCACCGTCAACGGCCTCACAGATGAAATGTGAACTGTGCAACTTATTGAGATTTATTCATATAAGCTGTAACAGGACTTGACTCCATGTGGGTGTAGTTCTAGGAAATTTTCGTAGATGGCGTTTATCTCAATATCATACTAAATTGAGTTTACTTCGTATATTCTTCTCTGTTTTTAGTGCATTGAACAATGGCTATAGCCGTGAATTAGTAAAATTTTAGTATAAGCTTAGTTTAACAGGGACTGGAAAGCAGTGACAAGAATTAATTTTGTAATTATTTTTTTACAATTATAATTTGAACTGCATAATAGTTTTATGATGCTATATTGTATGCCTCAATACGGCTTTCGGCTTGTACATTAAAACTTTAGAGAAATGTTTAGTTTTAATAAATTATGTATAGTTGACAATATGCAGTCATTGCCCACCTTGCTTTAAATATAAATATTATTGGACAGATATGGTACTGGACTATATGAAGGCCAATTCTCGTAATAAAAGTTCGGTCAAAATTCAGTTCCGATCAACCGCGATCTCGCAATTTGAGTTGCTAAAAGAAATACTAATCCTAATTAGTATTTTCTTTTTTTTAAACTAGCGATTTGTAATTTATTCCTAGCTGGTGTCCAATCATTAACTTTTACCGTATTATTTGAATATAAGAAAACAAACTCATCTTGTTTTTTTAATTCTTTATATAATTTAATTGATAAAACCTATTAAATTATTAACTTTAAATTTAGAATCGTTCTCCTTCTTTGATTATATTGTCATCGTCACAGAAGTCTTTATGTGTATTTAACATTCTGCTGTTTTTTATCTTAATAATATCAAGGTAAAAGACAATATTTTTAATTATTTTCATGATTTTAATTTCATAGAATTGTTTAATAATAAAATTACTAGCAGTGAGGGCCTTGATAGCAGTTTGTCTATTGTACATGCCGATCATACAGAAAGGCAAAAAAGCGTTTGTAGTTTTTTATTGTATTGTAACACGATGATATTTGATAATTATATGATTGTTTTTGTGATAAAAATGAAGATGTGTGTAACAAAAAAAAAAAGGAAAATGGAATTCATATATATAATGCGTTAAAAAAATATTAAAAAGTTTTTCGATATTAGTAATTTTAAGAGTTATGTATTCACATTGTTCAGAGTGAAATTATTGCACCAAAGCCTAGGGTTACCACAACATAAAAATTTTGGTAGGTATAGTAGGCTAGTGGGTTTTATTTAAAGTTTGATATTTACAATAGAAGAATTTTTTATTTTGATTATCTGAAAAACATCATATATATAGATTGTGTTTATTTTTTGTAAAGTGTCTACTATTATATGTATAATAAAAAAATAGATATTCTAACAGATCTTAGTATTAAAATGTAAGTATTAAAAATCTGATTATACATATTATATTTAAACTTCGAAAATACTAATATCAACTTTGACATTTGAAATATTGAAGCTTGACATAAAACTTCTCACTTAAGGTGGCCGCTGCAACAGAATCAAACCCTTACCTATTTACTAGCTTTTGCAGTTTACTAATACTGAGTAAAAGCGGCTTACTTAAGTGGGATAGTGCAAATTCAAGTTTCTAATGTAAATATAATAATATCTCGAAATATCAAAAAGCTTTTGACTTATCAACAGATTTTTGTCTCGAAATAATGCTGTTACGCTTGTGCAGGGATATAACAACACAACACTATAAGGACATGTGACAAAGTCATAATTGTGTAGTATGTTCTAGGTTTAGGTGTTTTTATATATCTTATATTTAAAATTGCCTATCCAAAGTTACGATATTAAAGACTTCTAAAGGCTTTGAATGTGTAGGATTAAAGTAACTAATGCCTAGTAGATCTAAAAGGTGACATTAAATACTAAGTCCTAACTTTAGACATCCACGAATCTTGAACACAATTGTCATATTACATTGTCAATTTTTGTTAGATTGTGATACTTTCTTTTAAGATATTTCTTTGATGTGTAACATTTTCCCTCTCGCTTTAGTAGGAGTGATTTCGTGGAAAGACACGGAAATGTGTAACAGGAAGCGGTGAAAACGCGCGGTATTTGATTTGACCAATGAGCGCGCGGTGATAGAGTGGCCCGTCCGATGTAGGCTAGATGTCAGATGTTACACTTCAAATGCTTATACTGCAAGACTCGTTCGTTTTTTTTCTGTGTTTAAACTGTCCGAGTCTATGGTCAATTTAAACATTCGAAAAGAAAGGATTTATTTAAATGTGTATTGACAACATTGTTTTATTAAAGAGTTATAAGTCTAAAAAGCATGTAATTAAATTAATTTTTTCTTCATAACTCGTGACGTCTACTGGTGTATGGTAAGTTTTTACCTATCTTTTTCAAATGTAGCGGTGCGGGCACACGTTTACTTTAAGTTGTAAGAGTATTACGCTATAGTGATAATTGTCATGATTATTTTAATACCGAAATATATGTATTTACTTCTTTTATTATAATAAGTTTTACTTCTCGCCATTTACCACAACTGATTACTAATTGCAATCGACTTTATGTTAAGACAGAGTGAGATAATAGAAATGGCTCACCTTTCTTAGTGTTACTCCGAGACTTCAGAAGTTTTACTGCTAAAGAAATTTTACTACTACTTTCGTGTGAATTCAGCTTGGACATTAGCTAATTTCCAAATTCATTTATAAACTTACCAATTAAGAAGATAATTTTGCTACAAGTAATCGCGGTTTAGAGTCTTTAAAGAATCATTACGTGAGTCCTCTCTACTCTTATTAAGAAGTCCTACAAGCATTTGTCTTAAAATAAATTAAAATAAAATTATATCCGAGGACTAATTTTGAGTAAAAAAGTATTTAAAAGGTGCAACATATCGGGTATTAATGGAATAGTGGCATAATTCAAAATTAGATTTTTTTATATTATTTTGTTCGGAATACCAACATCACAAATAACGTAAAGTAAACATTATAATAATGAAACCAGTCCTTAACATTCTTTGACAGCTTAACTTCTCTTTTTTTTTAAACTAGTTTGAATAACAACACTTTTTAGAAATTTGGACTTACACATTTAAAGAATAAAAATTAAATCAGGAATTTACAATGATTTTGAGTTGTGCCTGTTGTTGTTGTTGCCATTTGTTAAATGAATACTAGATCCAATTTTAAAAGGTTAGGCATAACCCGCTTTAAGTGTTAATTAAATCAGGTAATTATAAATATAAGCTCAATTTAATATGTGAACGGCTTTTGTAAGCTTCCGTAAAATGTTAAAATGGTAGTCAACCCAATCACACGTTGATTGGTAGCCTAAGGTTAGCAAAGCTTTCATTTGCTTGTGCCTTTGAAGAGTCAATTCGACTGTAAATCATAGGCTATTTGTATTCAATATTAGTAATAGTAACTTGGAAAATCTTTTTAAAAATGTATAGTAAAACGATTTTTAAGTAATTCTTTTTCCAATTAGAAATATTGCAACCTTATCAAGTCATTTTTCAGTAGGTAGTTTGAAGTAAACCATTTGGGCCGGCTCGACTGCAGTGACGAGACATCCTTGCTGGTGTCAAGTAATTCTTTAGTTGCTCTTTACCGGGTGAGTGTGGTTACTAGAGGCCCAGAGTAGCTAATTTAGGATCGGTGACCCGTCTGCCCATTTGCCCTCTATACAGCCTATACCATAATTGCCTTTTCATTAAAAAAAACTACCATGATAACCGAGGTAGGTCTTTTTTAGGAATATGTCTCTAATATTTGACAATTGAAAATATTCTATAATAAGGACATCTTGCAATGGGCATCCGTTTGAAAACTTGAGCATGATTGAGGTATCATCAGGAGGTGGAGGTGATGAGCTGCCTAAACTAGGTATCTCCAAAAAAAAACTAACAAATTCAACTTTTAATCCTGCACAAGACACGTTTACGATAATTTTGGGGATTTTTTATACTCTTTTTATTCCAAGATATAAAAGTTAGACTACCATGATCTCTTTTCTATCTGAAATTGAAAGCTAAACATAAAAGATAAGATACGTATTTACAATCATTTCTTTAGAAAGAAAAAGCGCCTAGTATTTATTACAAAGCAATATATTGTATTGGAATAAAACTTTGGTGTGGTATTCAAAATTATAAAGGATAAACTGTTTTACCATACGGAGACCGCTTTTCATGGGGTTCGGGGTCCGAAACTAGACAGACATCATGGAAATACAAACATGAGTATAACCGTTCATCCTTTATAAATGTATTATATTCTCGCGATTCGATCCAGCAAATGATTGCGGTATTAAATTGTACGGTGTAAACTATACTTTAGAATAACTGTCAAGTATCTTCCTTATTACATATTTAATCGCTTTCTATCTTTAATGGAAAGTGGCAGGAGACACAGATACCGCACCAGGGACTTCCTTTCTAGGGTATACCTGGTTCCCCGGCTATTAGTACCCGAGACGGCGTGCGGTTTTAGTCAGTTCGGGTCCGACATGCCACCGATAGGTGGTATCCGAGGGGATTTGCGCACGGAAAAAAAAAGGGAGACACAGATACCTAATTCGTGAAAGCACATCTACATCAATACGACAAATAAGGTACCTATATAATACAAAATTAATTCAATCACATTCAATCCATAGAAATAACAAACGTATGTAACCTTTACTATGATGTCTATTTTTCGAATCTTTTTGTACATACTTAATACGACTTTGATTTGTTTTGTTAGATTTATGTCATACCAACAATTTTGTATCACCAATGTCGTCTAAAAATCTGGTGCTTTGATTGCATGGTTTAAAATTACGTAATTAATAATTAAAGTATCCTACTCATCGTTACTTAATTGGGGAGAAAAGTGACACAACTTGTATCACTAAAAAAACTAATAGAAATCACTGACATTTAACTATAAAATTAGATTTCTCGTAAACTTAACATAGAGGCTACATATTTAATTAACTTACATACCTATTTCATTTTAAAAGTCGAAAAAATAATCAAACTTACTGAAAAAAAATGATTTTAAGTCAATATTCTCGGAAGAAAGAATTTTGTGTTGTACGAAAAAATGATTATAACTTGTATATAAATGCATGTTTGATGTCTATAGAAAGTTTACTAGTAATTATACCTATGTCAGTTTAAAGTTTATGTACTTATATTCCTGAAAAACATTGTCTGTGTAATAGAGTTTTTAATAAAGTATAAAATACAAGTTTTTGATTTTATTAAACACAAAATAGTAGTAGATGCCACTGCAAGATTTATACGCTTATGTATTTTCAACCTATATTTTTATGAGGCATTAAATATTAGTAAATCTATGATCAGAGTGTTGAAAAATAGAAATAGATAGTGAATATTTGCTTTTAAACTGACCATTAATGTACCCAGCAGATCTTCACGTAATCCTGTTTGCAATCTCCTTACTGTGTCCTTATCCAAAACCTTGGTCTAAACGCACCCTTAAGAAGAATGTGTAGGGATTTGAATTCGACTGTGTCTGACGGGTTTCTTGAGAGGCCCGAAATAAACACACTTCGAGCGTAAATGTGATCAAATTAATTACTCATTTGTGGTAAAGTCAAGGGGCATCGCATTTAAAGGAGCCTCGCGAAGCCTACTTTGCCCACGCCTAGCTACATAGGGTACAGGTTAAATACCCTATGGTATTAATAGGTGGTGGCACTCCTTATTCTTAATCCGTCACCACACGGATACAGACCGAAAAAAAAACGATTTGGTTCGTAAGAATGGGTATAATATTTTAATTTTCACAGAAAGTATTTACGTGACTAGATTCATTTTGTATGATTGAGCACAATGCACATTCCTCTCATATTCTCCATCAAGTTCATAAAATATTAATAAAATAAAACTGTCAATGCATATTAATAGTAATGTAACGTTCGTATAAAACCCGGCTGGTTTCTCGTTCGTTTCACTTATAATTTTAATGATACCATACAGAACAGAAAAAAACGCAATTAGGGAAAATGAACATTCCAAAATCTTTATAAAACATGTCTCACAAAAAATAAAAACTTTAAATAATAATTAAAAATTTAACATAAAACAGCACAACAAATGGATACCATAAATATTTTTCAATTTTAGGAACATCAAGGGTCAGGGACTTAATAAACAATTTTAAAAACTCTAGCATATTTAAAACTAATATAATTAAGTCCATAAACATTATGATATAATTTAATAACAACGAACAAAAATTTAAAATAACTCAGAAATTATTTTTGGAAAGCAATTTACGTAATTTTAGAACGCATCACAGAGTGGACTAGCATTATTATGGTTTATTTTTAAACTATCGTCGCCGTGATTGTGTATTTTTGGCGCCTTTTCTCTGGTAGGACGGAATAAGTGTAATATTATTGAATAAAATTATCGGTTTTAACACCTTATCATAATAGATGTTTTTATAGAAAAAGTACATTTATCGACAACTTTTAAAATACTACATTAGCTATGTTTTAAAGTAAGTGCATGAACAAACGTGGTAGGAACTATGAAAACAGTGTTTTATCTTTAAAAGCTCTTTGTTCTCTCTACTTTTATTTGTCTGTTTATAGTGACTATAATTGCATGTATAAAATATGGCGCGATCTCATGACAAAAACTATGTAAGTAACTAATCTTAATTAATGCTATGATTATGCTTCTAAAGGTCCAAATAAATGTTTCGCTTGGACGTCTTCGCTTTCGTCACCTAGGAATTGGGCAAAAAGTTCTTGATATCTCGACAATGTCAAACCACCTTTCCTCCTGTCGTCGTCCTGGAAAATAAAGAGGGTAAGGCAATGATATCATTACATAGTATTAAATAAAGTCGCTTTATTATTGTTGTACGCTTAGATCTGTTAAACTAAGCAACGGATTTTGATGGCAATAGAGAGAGAGAGTAATTCAAGAGGAAGGTTTATCTATCCATAATACCTATCTTTAAATATACGTATATTATATATATAATCTGAATATCGGAAACGGCTCCAACGATTTTCATGAAATTTAGTATGCAGGGGGTTTCGGGGGTATACCTGGTTCCCCGGCTATTGGTGCCCGGGGCGGCGTGCGGTTTTGTCAGTTCATGCCATGCCACCGATAGGTGGTATCCGAGGGGATTTCCGCACGGAAAAAAAGGGGGTTTCGGGGGCGATTAATCGATCTAGCTAGGTTTCATTTTTAGAAAATTTACAAAAATCCAGGTAATATAATATAATACATGCATATTATATTAGAGAAAATCCGAGAATTTCAAAGATTTGTCATAAAAAACATGGTTTTGCGCGCTTACATTGCAAACGCTGGCTAATCCTTACGAGATAGACCAAAATAATGTACTACCGAATTGTTATGTTTATGTTAAAAAGATCTACAAAAAGGACCGGGATGGTAGGTGTCTGTCTCCTAAGGATAACCCACAGTAACCATTTTTATCTTTTAAATAAGAAAAAAAGGGTTATTTACGAAGCTATTAAGATTATATTATTGAAACAATAAAACATGGAATGCAATTTTTTGGGCGCACGAGATCGCGATAAAATTACAAGATTGCTTCAACAGCAGTCCGATGTCTATAATGACCTCATAGACGAACAACGCTGGGACGAATCATCCAAGGGGCGCCACCTTTACTACTTATTGCCATCTGTTCGCGAACGGTTGTCGAGGATATAGATTGAGGTGGATCACTGTGTCGCTCAATTTCTTACAGGTCATGGTAACTTTAAGAGCAAACTGTATTCATTTAAATTAGTCGAGTCACCATTTTGTCAATGCTCAACACCTAACTCTAACTGTAAAAAATCTGCTCATCATATCCTCTGGGAATGTAGTCTTTGGTATAATGAACGTAATATAATGCTGAATAGCTTGCAGGTGACACCTGGGGCGGTAAATTATGGGGATCTTGTGTCAACTAGGGTAATTTTCCGTGCGATTAAGCGATTCTGCTGTACATATTATAGAAATCAAATATACTTTGGATGCATAATATTTTGTGGAATTCCCTTTTAAACAGGGAAGCGCCGCTTTCCTGTTTAAAAGGGTGTATGCCTATTTTACTTCATTTTGTCTCCCTCTTTGCTAAGGAGGGAAGTGGATTTACTGTATTTCCAACTCCTTCAATTTTCTTTTGATTAATTTCTTTTCTAGTGTCATAACTCGGTGTGTTCGTGGGTCACTGCTGTTGATCGTAGTGCACAGGAGTTACAGTGGTGGGCGTGTGGGAGGGATTAGAAAAAAAACTATTGTAAACAATACATTATTATTACTTATCCCGTAAATACATTAGATACGTTGTGCATTTAGCGTAGTGGCAGCGGCTGGCAGGTTTAGAGCGGGTCTTATAACTATTGTATATAAAGATGTCCTGTAGTAAAATTATAGATGTAAAACAACAAAACCAAACGTTTTAAATAAAAATGTGCCGTTTTAAACGGTTGAAAACTCGCCTACAAAAATAACACTTCATTGTGGGCAATTTTTGATTACCTGACGTCATGTTTTGTTTTAATTAGTCTATAGAAAATCAATAGAATGTACCTACCTACATAACCTACTACACGAAAACTTAAGTATGTAGGTATAGCTACCAATACTTATTTATTACACACACTAGATTAGAAGATATCATTAATACAATGCCGTCCGTTAGATAAGTAAAAGTTAAAATTTAATTGTACTACTTCTTTATTTACATTCATCATAGCAAACCCCTATGATAAAGATACAATAACTACATGCGAACGTACCTACAGTCAGGGGGAAACTTTCAAAAGCCCATTTTGACAGCTGTCAAATTCATACTAGAAGAGATGTCAACTGTCAAAATGGGCATAAAAGTAGCCCGACTGTAGTTACAGAAGCGTGCGAGCGCCGTGCGCGCGACACTTTGTGTATGTGCATGTGTGTGTAGGGTAACATTGCGTCGAGACACGAGTGCCGACGTCAACGAGATTGCGGGAGTGTAACTTTGGTTTTAAACCGGATCAAATTCATTATTTATATCGTTTGAAAACAATGAAAAAATGTTTATTTACCAACACAGAGTTTTTAATTTATCAATAGAGTTTTTATAACTTAGGTAGGTAATACTTGACTCTACTCGGGGGTTGTGCGGTCCATAGCCCTTTACGGATGCCCAGTATCGTCGCGATACTGCGACGACCGCAGCGAATGCTGGCCACCAGGATCATAAGGGGGTACCGCACGATCTCCTTTGAGGCGGCGAGTCTCCTGGCCGGAACTCGACCGTGGGACCTGGAGGCGAGAGCCCTTGCGGCTCTGTATAAGTGGCGCAAGGAGGCGCGGGAGTTGGGTCGGTGTCCCGAGACTCGAGAAAACGATGACCGGAAATCCCAACTCCGCCAGGTCATCATAGGGGAGTGGAAGGAACGACTCGGGCAACCGAGCGCCGGGCACGCCGTCATCGCGGCGGTAAGACCCGTTATGGAGGATTGGCGCGAGAGGCGTCACGGGACCCTCTCATACCGACTGACGCAGGTGATCACTGGGAAAGGATGTTTCGGGGATCACCTGTGTCTGATCCGCAAGGAGCCAACGCCTGAGTGCCACCACTGCGATGGCCAGACCGTGGACACGGCTCTCCACACGCTGGCAGAGTGCCCGGCGTGGGTTGAGCAGAGGCGAGACCTCGTGGCGGCCATCGGAGTGGGAGTTCTCTCGCTCGATAGCCTGATTGCGGCTATCGTGCGGAGCGAGAGTGCGTGGAACTCTGCCGTCTCCTTCTGCGAGCAAGTTATGCTCGCGAAGGAGACGGTGGAGCGGGACCGGGAGAGGTTTAGGACTCTCCCGGCCCGCCAGGCCCGGGAACGGGCCAGGTACTGCAGGCGACTCAGGCGCCGGAGGTCGCAGAACGACCTCCGTCCTCCATAAGCGCAGGCCTGGGGGTGACAGGTGAGGCCATCTGTCACCCTAGCAGAAGCAGGCCGGGGTGGCGGCGAGCGCGTTGCGAAGCGCGCTCGCTTCCAGGGAGCACAGGGAACATGGGGTTCAAACACGGGGGATTAGATTAGTACCCGAGACGGCGTGCGGTTTTAGTCGGTTCGAGTCCGACATGCCCCCGACAGGTGGTATCCGAGGGGATTTGAGCACGGAAAAAAAAAAAAAAAAAGGTAGGTAATACTTACGCTTGATCGGAAGGACCAACTAGAACTAAACCCGCTAAGTGTATCAATATTAGTATATCCTACACTCCTACTATAAAAATCTTTACACAGTTTAAGGTTATCTCCGTCTCGTCCGTCCGTCCGTCTCCTACCTCGGTAAAATCAAGAAAATGTATAGTTAGTATAGTTATAATTAAGAAAAACATAGTAATCAACACCAACCGTTTTAAATAGAAAAAATGGTTAATTTCGGTTTTAAAGGTTTTTCCTTTTTAAAGGATTGATGTCATTGGTTTTAAATCGGCCTTACATATATAAGTAAAGTCCTATCATAATAATAGTATAATTAATTACACCACACTGACACCACATTAGTAGTATCTACATTGCACCCGTGCGAAGCGCATCGCGAGTTATATACAAACCTTAAAATATAATAATTGGGGTAAGGTATTTAATGACGTTGACTAAAAGAACTGAACAAATTCACTATAAGGTTAAATTAGTGTTTTTGATACTGTACTGAAGTAACTTATTTTATATGTGCCTCATTAAGACCTTGGTTAACTGTACATATTTCCTAATTGACGTACCTACATAGCCCGAGAAATGAAAGAATTGTGTAAACATGAAATTAAGTTTTTAGCATTATTAAGCATGTAAAAAAACCGGATATATATGTATATCTAGTACCTACCTATATTTTTTTAATGTTAAAAAAAATAAGGTCTCTACCATAGACGTTGTCCTTCCACTACTTCTAGTTACTGATAAAAATTACAGATTTTGTTTTTTTTTGTTACATCTATACTAATATTATAAAGCTGAAGAGTTTGTTTGTTTGTTTGTTTGTTTGTTTGTTTGAACGCGCTAATCTCAGGAACTACTGGTCCGATTTGAAAAATTCTTTCAGTGTTAGATAGTCCATTTATCGAGGAAGGCTATAGGCTATTTATCATCACGCTAAGACCAATAGGAGCGGAGCACCAATGAAGAATGTTTCAAAAACGGAGACAATTTATTACTATTGAGAGACGCAGACGAAGTTGCGCGGGTCAGCTAGTAATTACATAAAACGTCCACAATTTTTTTTTCGATGCTATAACGACTACTAGACTAAATCTGTTTTCATATTACAAATGGCTTAACAAGACTAGTAAATATGTCAATTCTACTTATCTATGTATTTCAAAATAATAATTCGTTTGTAGCCATTGTAGCGTAAAAAATGAGCTTACGTCCGCCATCGGACACGACTGGAGCGACGCCAGGAAGAAACCTGTCTGTTTTCTCAGTCCTCTGTAGTCTAGTGCAACCTCTTATTTTTGATTACTTTTTTTAAAACTCGTTAATCTCCGACCACTTTATTTTAGTTACATTTCTATATATATATTTTCTTCCCGAGTTGACATTTATCGTTGCCTCTTTTTGTTATTATTAGGGAACCCGGATGTGTGTAAAGCTTACTTTAAAATAAATATATAGGGAATTACTAGTTGCTAAGTGTTCTATTATACAGTATACCTAACAAAACCAGGAAGAAAATTAAATATTTTTATGAAATCCAAATGCGCCACTACAAGTCGAAGATAAGAAGAAGAAGTCAAAGAGAAGACTGACACAGGTGTAAAATACATTGATTTTTTTCTATGTGAAGTAAAAAAATATAATAAACAATCTGTAAGATGGTAGTTTTACTAATACCGGTGCTCGTTTTATTTGTCGGGGATACGTATAAGTGCACCTTAAATTAATGTATAGTTTTCTAACCCAATCACAATAATCAGTAAGCATCAGTTGTTATCAGTGATGTCAATAACTTCAATCTGCTCTCGTATCGTTTGCCAAGACCGCATGGCTACTAGGTAATAAGTATTTCTAGAACATCGTGTATTAGTGATCTATATTCTATTCGCGATTGGTGTAGATCTCGTGCGTATGACTACATCTTTCAAATTTATCTTGCCAATATAAATTTACCACGTATACTTATTACGTGACTGACAGTCAAAATCTTTCAACCTTATCTGACATCCGAAGTGTGCGACATTAAAAAGCGTGCTATTGCTTTTTGGTAAGTCATGTCATTCGAAATTTAAATCACAATAACTGTTCTAGATTTTTAACCGACTTCATAAAGGATGATGTTATCAATTCGGGTGTTTATATATTTTTTTTATGTATGCTTGGGCAAACTCCATCATATTTACTCATAGAAGGATTTTCAAAATTCTTTATTGGTTCGAAAAGGGTTTATACCGAAAGTCTCATATAAATTTCATATAGATCTGATGATGAGTTTCGGAGACAGACAGTGAAACTCTTCTAAAAATGATAGCAAATCAACCGTGATTGCTGCTAGGTTTTTTTTGTGCTCTTTGTTAATATTGTTTGAAGTCTTTTTTGTAAAAAGGATTTATATACTCTATGCTCTGCTGATACAATACGGTATATAAAAGAGAAAAAAAATTGAGATTTTTTACTAAAGTTTGTTAGAAATTATACCGAAAGCAACTAAAAGCAATACAAAATGGGGCACAATATTTGTAGTACTCAAGTTTTATGACAACTATCTCAATAAATTATATTACTGTTTATAAACTATTTAATTTTAATGTTATGGTATACTAAATAATTTTGAAGAGTAACATAACAAAATAACAGAAATGCCAACATAAAAATATTATTATGGAAGATCCCTAATGTAATTTCTCCTAACATATTTTTTTTGACAAACGATTGTTTTGATGTCGTACTTAAGAATATTGTTTTAAATCAAAACTAAAAATTAGAACATTTTTCTACATAATATTGCAGGTAATAAGGTTTCATTTATAGACGATACATTATTTTTCATAATGTAGCATAAAAATGAACAAACCAGAATTCAATCTATGATAAATATTTGCAATTTGTTCTAATAATACTTAGAGACATTGCAGATGACATGTTACTTTTTTAGTGTCTCATTGGTCCAGTTGCAAAATTTGGCGATTATTTTTAAGTGCTAACATTAGATTCAACTTTTTGGGCAATAAAAAATGAAGGAACGCGGACACGGGTTCAATAATTTAAGTAATAAACATGATCTAAAGCTAATTAGCCAGCGTGGTATAGTACGCTAGAACCTCCTTTCTAAGGAGACGACTATGTCCAGTAGTGGACTGTTATAGGCTGTTGATGAAATCTAATTATTTACCGTTAGATGAGTTCGATTTTCAGTCAATTTTATGAAAATCCCGAAAGCAGCAATCGACACAATATTCAACTATAAACATTGACTCAGACAATTAAAAACAAGAATGTCATTACGTTCAAGATCATCTCCGACGGATAATTATACTCTCAGGTTTAAAATTAAAATGACTACAAGTCTGCGTGTTCGCGCTAATTGTGATCAAACTAGTGAGTAATTAATAGCCCGAGACAAATTTAACCGTCGCTAAATAAATCTATTGCAGGCCAGATGGCCCGTGATCGTAATTGTACCTACGGATGATTAGTTTCAAAGTGTTTTCCTTGTAATCCACTTCAAAAAAAGGAGGTGGTTCTTAATACTTCCCAATTTGGTTGTATTTCTTTTTATGTTTGTTATTTCAAAGCTGAGCCGATTTGGAGAATTCTATTTAGCAGGGTAGGTATTCTTGTCGTTTAGTCCCATTCAAAGAAGTAATAAATAGTACCTCTTAAGGGGCGGGGGGAGAGGGGGGGGTTTTAGAATGTTGCATAAAATTTATTACAACTCTTCATGATTTAGGCGCATTAAAATTTTTTTAAAGTTAATTATTATTATTATATTTCACGGATAGATGTCGGTGAATTAGAATGTTTTTTTTTCTAATTCACAGATAGCGTTGTTTTGAATCTGGACGTAGATACTTTGTGTTCAAAAGTGTTAATCTATAAGGTGAATCGTGAAAAAATATATTATTTATGATGTCACTTTGGTAATTAGCCATAGTTTTTTTGTCCTAAAATATTTAGGTACCTATCTTATGACAACCTGGTGACTAAAATGTCTATAGTCTAAGTACAGTAAGTATAAGCGTCGTTAGCTGAATATTTGACAGATTTGCAGACAAAGGATGGTAAGTCGGGTCCAACCGTATGACTCACTTCACAAATAATGCATAGATTGAAAAAATAATTGGAAAACTTATATCTTGAATATAAATACTTCTCCTCTTTCCATTTCAATTTATAACCATTAAATATCTTGGGGGAAGTCCTAAAATGGAATAAGGATTTGAATCTATCTATTAGGTCGATGGCAAAGCCGTCATGTCGCCTTTGAATCTTTTTCTTTTCTTTTTAAAAAGACAACTCTGCACTAGGAATAAATCCTGTGTCGCGGGGACTTTACAAACTAAAATACATGAAACGGACACAAAGTACACCCAGACTCAGAACAACAATTTGTGGATCACACAAAGTGTTGTCCCATGTGGGGTTTGAACCCACAACACTCGTCGCTATAGGAAGCGGCGTGGCGACCGCTTAAACCACTACGCCATCCGTGCAGCCAAAAAAAAATCTGCCCTGTAGTTAGGCCTTCTTGAACTATCTTCGACATATCTAACAAAATCGTTATACTTACGTTAAGTAGAGAATAGTAGGCTTCATCTATTTCTTTGATGTCTTCTAAAACCATTCGCTGTACACAATCATATCTGTACTCTTCTATGGCGATCACACCGTCAGCGTTAATGTCTATCATCCTAAAGTTAGTCTCAATGAACGCTTTCATTGCCTGAGGAAAGTCCTCATATCTACGACCGACACAGCTGTTTTTCACGGCTTGTTTGAACTCGTCGACCGTTATCATACCATCCTGAAAAAACTTCACATTCTGAACATGCTGTTGGTTATTTATGAAGTTACTATAATATAAAAGCATAAAGCGTGTGCGTGGCTTTGCGTGTGTGTAAATTGAAAATTAGATAATTAATATTTGTATTATTCTAGTTTAGACTACACATATCTTGTAAATTAAATTCATTTACATTCTACTGCCATTAGTTTAAAATTAGAAATGTATTTAAATTACTTTTAGTAAATTAGGCTACTCTACTAAAGAGGATACTTAGCAGGCTAATAGACAATATTCTAGAACCTGTAGTCTATGTAGTCTACAATAATATTTCCAGATCTCGCAGAACTAAGTGCATGTGTAAAATGTAGTGCGGTTATCGTCAGTCATATTATTCTTAACAAACGTTAAGAAATATTCTTTTTCTCATGTTGGTATAGCATCGGTGATCTGAAAATTTTAAAGTTGGTAATACTCTGACACGTCTATTCTTTTAAAGTTTTATAAGTAATTAATTTATATGATATTTTTATTCTCAGCAGCGTGCATAACTACACAGAAGCGAAACATTTAGGAGCAGAACCCTTAGCACAAATGGCATGGTACAAAATGACGGTAGTTTGTAAGAGAATGATCCATACAAACGTATTTTCACTACTCATCTTTAGGCAAAGCTATACTGCTGTAATTATATTTTCGAAACATATGATGATATAAAATCTCCTGTTAACCAAGATAATCAATTATTTTTTCCTCCAGTAAAATTACGCATATAATACGCGTTTGCAATTTCATCGAAGATATACTTTTCGTAGTTGATTATAATACATACTATTATTTTCTAGTTACATAATTTTTGTATAAGACGTGGTCTAAAACCTATGACCGTTTGCACAATTTACAATTTGTGCAAGGGGTTCAGAGAGTTTTAGAAGCTACAGTAAAGAACAGCGTTAGGCTGCATCCACCGAAGCTTCGCTGACACCGCGTAGTGTAATGTGTGAGGATAACCGACATAATCTGGCACCTTGTCGAAGTCCGCGAGTTGCGCGATCTCCTCCCACAGACTCAGCATCACATGCTGGTATTTCTGTAGGCGACCCGCGCTGCAGTCGCCTTTGCCCTCCAACACGCATGTGCGCAGTGCCAGGCATACGAAATCGTGTGCATCCAAGTAGCCATTGTTGTCGATATCTGTAATGAAGACATAGTGAAAGCGTGATCAGTATTGAAAATTATTTTACGATTAAGTACAGTTTGATTTATTGCATGTAAAGATAATTTTAGATTTCTGGCTATTATATAGTAGTTATTTGTTAGTAGTAGGTAGGTCGTTTAGACGAATACCAACGTTGCTTAATAATAATGGGATGGTCAGACTTCGGCACAAATGAGTCGACTCGACCGGAGTGATTCCACGGCCTCACAGAAAACCGGTGTTAAGCAGTTCTTTCGTTACTTTTCACCGAGTGAGTGAGTGCAACCCATGGAATGCGTCAGTAACCACTAAGTGAACCATCTCATAAAACGTGGATAATTAAGTTGGTTGTGCAAGAATTACTGTTATCTATTTCCACTGATATTAAACTTATTGTACAACTGTTTATAGTCCCAAATGCAAATCTGCACATTTGCCCTAATGAAACAAACAATTTCGCTGTAAGTAAATTTATTTCAAAAGCTATTGTTATCAGTACAAGTATGAATTACGCGTGAAGCCAAAGTTATAGTATTAAATGCGTGTATTGGCCATTGTGATACATATACAGTTTGCTACTAGAAATTCCCACACGTCGAATGAACTACATATAGAATTCAAATCATATACTATGATCTGAACTATAGACACATGAGAATGCTAAGGGCATGCGTAAGGTGTAACATTGTGGCAGAAACGTTATCGATCTCTAAGTGTCGCAATGAGTGAGTAAATTAGTCGCGGCTGCCCACTTGGCTAGCAGTTACATGTAAACAATAGGCAACTATTAATTTAATAGAGCTGCTCATGCCAAAACCCGGGGATCCTTCATTTCGCAATCGGCACCAATTTTTAAAACAACAATCGATGTTCAATAGACATGAGGCATTCGTGTCTATCAATAAATAAATTTACTAATGAAGCCAACACTTTTTAAGTTTTTTATCGTATCTACTAAATACGTACGGAGGTTTATGTTGCAAATATAAAAAGCCATTTTAAAATTAGAATAAGAAATTATAGGTACAAGCTGTGAATGTCGTCAGTGTTTGAAGGTAGAAGTACACGTGTAAAAAGTATTTTACGCTACCGGTTGACAGTTACGGATTCATATATGTAAATAATATAATATTAATAGCAACCACCAACAATTTAAAAATTCTATTACCAACGAACACTCAAGTGCCTAAGACGCAATAAATTTGTCAAAACCAATCATTTGTTAGACAACACTTCCTATAATTAATAGCTCTTTAGTTAGATGAGTTGGGCCAGAAATATTCTGGTAACAGTTTTTAATTGAATACAGCCGTTAATCAGCTATAAGTAGTGAGTAAAGTAATGATTGTTTAAAGGTGCAGCTGTCCTAGAAAAACATTTATCGTTTCTGGGGTATAGTGAAGTTGTAAATCTTGGCAGGAGAGCATACACGTTCCGTTAGGTGCTGATTAATGAGCGCCGATTGGACCCTCAGAAATGTTGCTCAGGACAATGTCGTGTTCAGCCTATTGTAATTCTTACAGTCTTTTTATATCTCTCGAATTACGACCGGTTCTATAATAAACATTCAATAGTATATTTTTGTTTTCAATAAAGCCGTTTAACTTTACCTATATTATTTTCAACTTTTACTCAATTTTATGCTATCCATTTTTTTCATTTTTTGTTTTTAATTCGGGCCCTAATGGAGAATTATTATTATTATATAGGTACCTTCATTATGCAGTAATCTAAGCTAACACTAAGGTGTGCTCGTAACATCGGCACACCTTAGTGTTAACAGGCACTGGTATCCGCTTGCCATCAGGCTGGCAATATGCTTATTTGCTAATTTACTTTTGTAAATTTGGTCCTATTTTCTATCTTAGCTAGCTTCTAGGCTCTAGGCTCGTTATTATCATCTTGATTATTATTTAAATATTCTAAGAGTGTCATGTTATATGGATGGATTGTAGTGATAACAAGCTAAAAATTTAATTAAAAAAATCGGTTGTCTGTAAAGTCGGTTTACTGACGATAGTTGAACGTGACAACGTCATAAGAAAATACTAATGGAATGGTTGCATTTTTCAAAAGAAAATTTTAATTTTATTTGTTAGACAGGTGTCGAACGCTGCTGAACGCGGAGGCCGATTGTGCCTCTTTGTCGCTCGTTCCGCGCTCTCGCTTGCACTTCAAGCCTTAAATGGAACGCCTCAGAGTAAGGTAACGCCGCATGAGTCATGTTTTTTCGTGCGTGCAGCCGGCTCCATCGAATTATAAGACGTTGTCACGTCAAAAATTAAAAAAAAAACCCCACACACATCTTGGATTTGAATGATGCTATGATGATGCAAGAGACAGACACACACTCACACACAGACACGTCAAACTTATCACTAAAAATAAAACAAATTTCGCAACTTTAGTAGGCTTTTGATGGTTCAGAAATTAAACATTAATTAATTTGATTAATGTTCCCGACATTAAATTTATTAAGATTGTATATTCATTTGAAAATTATTAAGGACATTAACAGACAGCATATTTATAAACACTAGATTAATTAACACCTTGTCAGTCGAATAATAAAGAAATCTCAAATACGAAAGAATTAGTTACTTAGACTGAATTAACAAAAAAGTTCTATAAAAAAAGAACAATGACCTGTCAAAAAACCGAATTACGCGCCAAACAGACATCAAATTCTTTTTTTTTTCAAAAAATAGAATATCCAGAAACTTCTATCTACCACATCTTAATATTTATACTAGTATTGTGTTATTTTATCACGTCAACTGAAGATAAATGAATTTTTAAAATAAATATTCGTAGCTGGGTCAAGTCCAACGTAATTACAGACATAACACAATTCAATTTTTTGAGAATTCAAAACACACTTAATGTTTTGTCATCTCTTAATTAAGATTTATGTTGATAAAAGTTTGTTAGTGCAGTACAGTAGCCTTCACGAGTAACAACCACTTAAATATTATGTTATTATTCTTTCAAATTATTGTATTTGTGTGTAGTGCATATGTGTGTCTAATAGTGTATGCGTGTGTTCAGTGCGTTATGTAAATAATTATATGAGTTTGTTAGTCTTATATCCTGTATCGTACTATCGTATCGTACTGTAAAATTGCAACCTCCCCATACCATCCTTACATCTCATCCTTCATTTCATACTTCTCCATCCAGCGGTTGCCTGGAAGAGATCGCGATTCGCGATAAGGCCCCCAATTGTACAACTATATTACTTAACTAGTTTTACTTTCTTTGTGTAACTGTCCCTAGATTTTAAGACTCATACAAATGAATACAAACTGTTCTATAATTATGTTATTTTTTACAATAAAGAGTTATCTATCTTTATTAATTTATAGTTATTACGAGTGCATATCGCGTTCTTTTTATTACGAAAAAATAATTGACATATTATAGGCACACAAAGTTTTTCTTACTACTATTATAAATGCGAAAGTTTGAATGAATGTTTAATACTTAACACACACACATACACTTCACACTATAACGGCTGAATTGATCTCTATTAAATTTAGCACAGAGATAGATAATAGTCAGAGGTGGATTAGTATATTTTTATACTTTTATATTTTTTCTGTGCGGGCATCCCCTCGGATACCACCCACCGGTGGGATGGTTATGTCGGACTCGAACCGACCAAAAACCGCGCGCCGTCTCGGGTAACAGTTGCCGGGGAACCAGATGTATCCCAGAAAGAAAATCCCTGGTACCCCGACGTACTTCGGGCCAGCTACGGCGTGTAGTTGACTCCACACAGGAGTGTAGGAAGCCCTATGTCCCCTTTGTGCTCCTAAAAGGGCGTGCGCGCTTCGCAGCGCGTCTCGCCACCACCCCGGCCTGCTTCTGCTAGGATGACAGATGGCCTCACCTCCCAGGCCTGCGCTAATGGACGAGCGTAGTAGTGAGCGGCGTGGCGACTGCTTAAACCACTACGCCATCCGTGCAGTCAGTGCCTCTGCTCCACCCACGCCGGGCATTCGGCCAGCGTGTGGAGCGCCGAGTCCACGTTCCGGCCATCGCAGTGGTGGCACTCAGGCGTTGGCGCCTAGCGGCTCAGACACAGGTAATCTCCAAAGCGTCCTTTCCCGGTGATGACCTGCATCAACCGGTATGAGAGGGTTCCGTGATGCTTTTCGAGCCATTCCTCCATAACGGGTCTTACCGCCACAAAAACGGCGTGCCCAGCGCTCGGTTGCCCAAGTAGTTCCTTCCACTCCTCTACGAGGACCTTGCGGAATTGGGATTTCTGGTCCTCAGTTTCCCGAGTCTTAGGACTCCGGCCCCACTCCCGCACCTCCTTGCGCCACTGATACAGAGCCGCAAGGGCTTTCGGGTCGCCCCCTTCCCCTTGTGCACCTCAAGGTGTGTGGATAGTGGTGACTCCAAAGTTTAGTTGTCATTTCTTTACTGGAGCAATTATTTTTTACGAGTTTCTATGTCGTGTATCGGAATCGAATAGACTAAAACCACACACTGCGCCTGAAATAGGAGGCAAGTCTCCAGGCTCTCTCCTTAGCGATACAGAAGTATACCTCTTGATTTTAAGGAACGTGACACAAAAAAATGTATTCAAAATATTATAATTAAAAAATGTAAGAAACATTAGATATCATCGCGCGTGCGTATGTGTGTATGTGTGAGTGTTAATGTGTGCATGCGTGTGCGTTTGTATAGAAGAAAAATTGTGTTAAGTCTTCGTATGTACTGCTAGTACAAGAGTTTCATTTCATTGAAGCTATTTACAACGGGGAATATTACCTATTATATTATATAGAAAACAGTAACGATCAAATAGAAAAATGTCAAAAAAAGCATCCAAACATTATAGATATCTTTATGTATAATTTAGAAGATTAATGTAGTAAATATAATACCTACCGACACTACCTACGTGTATATATTTAATAAAAGTAAAAGGTTTTCGTTTGATTGAATCCGCCTTAGTCCCTAGAACTCAACAGAATTCAGTGTTTTTTTCTGTATTGGATATAGTCCGCGTTATTACAGAGGTTTGTTTATGACGTCACGCTACACTTCATAGGACCGAAGCAATTACCTTTAACACAGATGAAACTGAAGGAAACGGCCAGTCACAGATAATTCTGAATACTTATAAAACAAAATAGACAACTACTCTGTTTAAACTGATCAGCTGTCTACAAATAACACAACATTGCAAGCAATCTCACAAGAAATTATCTCAACACTTTCGCCGTAAGACTAGTTCATAGTTCTACAAAACTTACCATAAAGGTATCTCACAACAAATGCAACTCTATTATCCCAGGAATACGCCATTTTATTTGATGATTTTGATATTAGTTGGTGGTGTTTTAAAGACCGGTGAATCTTCGGTAGTCGTGTAAGTAGCGCGGCGGCGGTCGCGCAGCAACTGTCGGCCGCCGCCCGCGCCACTCCGCTCTGAAGCAACCGACGAAATAAAACAATATTACAAGACGATCACGTCACTACACAACATCCTAAATATCTCTATGCAACACCGTTGTCAAGTAGGTCACAATTTAGCAAGGCTACTTCAAGCCAGAGTTACTATGAGACATGTTCTCATCATCTTAAGGTAGAAGAACACCGTATTTTAGCTATCCCACTTCTATCCTCCTAACCAACCTATCCAACCATTATACCTTTTTATGTATCTAGAAGATGCTTCTTAACAACAGCCAAATTTCTAACACAAATATGGTAAGGTTTTAATTGCGTCCTTCTTGTTGGCAATCCTGGAAATGCCTGAATTAGTACATTTAACTAAATTGTGAGTGACGAATAAGGGTTTAAATATCACATCATCACATCAACAGCCTATACTAGTCCACTGCTGGACATAGGCCTCTCCTTAGAAAGGAGGTTTTGGCCTGGTTTAAATATAAACAGGTATAAATACTATTTGAACTCGCGAAAAGCTAGTGTACATTCTTTATATAGGTAACTAGCTCATCTGGTGATAAGTCATGATAATACGATCAAGGGTTTAACAGTTTCATGAGCTGAGGACAGTCTTATAAGCTGAGTATGAAGCGTTCCTCTTGTTTTGTTGACAATGACAATGTTTTGGTCGATATACTCGTAATTATTGTTCACATACATATGATATTGCAACATACAATAAAACAACTAGGTATGTACAACACGTTGTAATAGTATGAGTTATTATTATTAATTTCTGTAATAAACTTCGAGTAGTTCTTATTCCAGTTCGAATAAATAGGTTTAATAAATAATACCCACATACAAAGTGGCATAAGCATGTAGTTTGTACTAACATACGTGAGAGTACAGAAGCCAAAGTGCGAGTTTATTTCACATCAACTCACTCTCTATTCAGATTAGTTAAGATTTCAGTGCGGGCCAATCGCAGCGCTGAACGCGATCACCGTGACGATTGATTAGATGTGAAATAAGCTCGCACTTGGGTCTCTGTACAGTACAGGATACAGTATGTGGGAGAGCCATAATGCTTCGACACAAATGGGCAGGCTCGACCGGAGTGATACCACGGCCTCACAAATGTTAAGTAATTCTTTCCTTGCTTTTCATCATGTGCATGAGTAAGGTTATCCGGCCCTCATTCCTCCTCTCCCTGATTCTCTGATAGGATTGTAGGGCGGCAACGCACTAATGGCTCTTGAATTGCAGGTGTCCAGCGGCGGCAGCTCGTTTGCCCTCCAATAATATACAAGAAAAAGTTATGCCTGCACAGATGGCGTAGTGGTTTCAGCGGGCACCTCGCCGCCTCCTACTGCGCTTAGTGTTGTGGCTTCGATCACCACTTGGGCAACATTGTTGCAACACTTGGGCCAAATTATTGTTCTGAGTCGTGGGTGTTCTTGTTATCCGTGTCACGTATGTGTGTACAGTCCCCCGCGACATAGGATATATTCCTAGTGCGATAGTTGGCTTTAAAAAATGTCCTTTGCAGTAAAGGACAGTAATATGTTTTCATATGTTAAATCCTAATTAAATAGTCATAAAAACTAAAGCTCGGTCCTATTTTAGGTCAATGTATTTTGTAAGGATAACATTCGTTATACATTTCATCGGAGAAACAGTGATATTGTTACAACATTTTTTTATAAAATTTATAAGTGTTAAACGATTTTTTCGTTGCTTTTTACTAACTTTTTACTGGAGGCCAAAAATCTAATTCTGGGGGGACTTTGCGTAGAATGGAATGTAATTTGGCACTTTCACATAAATGATAGAAAATACGATAGTTCAGAGAATATGCTATTTAAAGCGTGAAATTCTCACTCTCTCTTTCTTTTTCATCGTAACACAGATGACTCTATTTCGTTTTTGCAACTTTGACAGCTAAACATTATATTGTATACAAAAGAAGGTTGTCGAATAAAACTAATTTTAATTTTAAATATTGTCTTTTCTGTATTATTCATTTTCAATCTTCATTCTCCGCTGTTGTGTTTGTAAGAAATAATAAAATGTATTTACGAATAAGCTGTACTTATTATTTGATAATACTTTTTGTGATGGGTAAGCAATTTTTTATTTTTTTTAAATTTTAAAACTTAGATATCTACAAGTAGAAATTTATTTTCTAACACAATCACTAGTAGGCGTCCAACACTGTATTCGATGAAAAATATTGCCAATTATAAGCTTATAGATTGTTCAAACTAAATTTTTATTTATTGATAGTTATATGCTATTGATTCCAAAAATATTTATCTCCTGTTGACTATGCGATGTGGACGGCTACTTATTTCATTAATATCTAATAATAAATCCTTTACTTCCACAATATTAACTGTATACCCTGTTTTTATTTTTCAATAAATGCATCAGCATGTAATACACGAATACTTTTTAGCACCCAATTAAAATTATTCTAAAGATTATATGAGTATGAGTGCATTACTAATTAGACTAGAAATATTTGAATAAATTAAAAGTTCAATGATAGTGAATAATTATGACTTGTAAATTTTAACTCCAATAATGGTGCTGATTCTGTTTTCGAAAATTCTCTAAACTAAAAATCACTAAGAAGTAGTTTAGTCCTGTCAAATACTATTTTTTAGGATTAGGAAACGTTTTTTGACAGGCCTAAAAACTTTTTTTTTGGTTTTTGAACAGCAGAATTTGCACTATTGTTCAGTACTCTTTTAGAGACACTAATTATCATGTGTAATTTTTGTTATTTATGTTCACAAAGTTAAATTGCTAGTTAATGATATACCTACTTGTTAGTCTTAGTAAAAAACAAAAAATTGTATTGAACTATAAAACATTTTACTGTTGTATATGTCTAGTAGTGGGTATTGAACCTACCCAGCCTGCCCAGGACAAATTATTATATAATGATCATAATCATTTGTTCTGTGTCTATGGTATGGAGGGTAGACACAAGGAGAACCATCTCATATGGGGGAAAATTGAAAAAGTGTCCAGCTGTATACTGAAAATAGAGGTCGCTGGCGTAGGAAAATCTATGATATGAGCATAGCTGTGCTGAGTTAAAATATTATAATACTTTTATTTTCTGAAAGTCATTAAATGTTTATTTATTGTCTGTAAAACTCATAAATTATGGTATAGGACGGCAAACAAACAGATAGGTCCCCTGATGGTGGTCTACTTCTCCCCATGAACACCTCAAAGTTAAGAATTACAAGGGTATTGCAGCCCTTTGAGTCTTCCCCCAGAATGAGAGGGAGGAGGGGTTTAGGCTTAGGAACTTCAGTCTCTCGGTCAACAGCAACTGAAGAATTGCTTAACTCTGGTTTACTGTGAGACCCTGGTATCACTGTGGTCAAGTCGTCCCATTTGTGATGAAGCTTAGCTCTCCCACAGTTATTGATGATATTTACCAAATTATTATAATTAGATGATACTGACTGCCTCAATGGTGCAGTGGTAGCATAATTATGCGACTGCTGTGCCGACGTCTCGGGTTCGCATCCCAGGTTGGATCAAATATTTGTATGATCTGTAAATATTTGTTTCGGTGTTTTCTGTTTATAAAAGATAGATAGATAGATAAATACTTTATTTGTAAACCAGGGTTTTACAGACATTATAAAGTAATTAACAACAGAGGTAATGCACAAAGGGCGGCCTTATCGCTTAGTGCAATTTCTTCCAGGCAAACTATGGATGGATTCATTTTGAACTGATGATAGGTATACTGATATTAGAGAAATAAATAAGGTGAAATATTTATTATACATAAATCCTACTAATCTATATTTATACATAAATACTAAACATACATACATTAATATATACGTATGTATTATTTACAACAAAAAAGTATAAAAGTATTCTATCAGTTAATCTAGTTTTTATAGTACAAGCTCTGCTTAATTTCAAAGTAGATGGCGTTGTGTGTCAGATGTCTGAAATATTATTATTATTATTTTGCAGGCTTAGCACCAGTGACAACACAGTTTGACATCCAAGAAGAGGAGGAAACAGAACTTAAAGATAATATAGACATTGATATTCCAAATGTGGATGAATCTGAATCATTGCTTTCAAATGTGGTCTCCGATGTTAACAAAACACTCACTAGTCTATACAACACAGTAACATTGGCCAATGTTACAGCAGAAAACAAAACACAAATAGCAAATGAAACAAGAAAATTAGTCAAATGTAGGGAGATTGTGTACGACCCAACTGAGGACACAGAACCAACAGTAGAAATTATAAATGGAACTCATCTTGCTAAATTGTTACAAATCAAACCAGACATAACCAGTCGAGACACTGAAGCCGATTGTGTACTTGTCCTCTTCTATGCCAGAGCATGCCCATTTAGCGCACATGCAGCACCTCACTTCAATGCACTTGCACGATCATACCCCAGTGTAAAAATGGTAGCGCTAGATGCCCTAAAGTACAGCGGAACCAATACTCAGTATGGCATTGTTGGTGTGCCAACACTAAAAATGTTCCATAATGGACGGCCTGTTGGAAAATTTAATGGCACGGAATATAACATCCAATCGTTTAGTAAGTTTGTTCATGCCATAACTGGTCAGTATCCCGTAAGACTGCTTGTCACATCCAAAGATTTTCAAGGTCCTGTATCTAGTGTTGTGGAGAAAGAGACTGATTATTTTCTTGTACTGTCATGGCTATTTATTATAATTTGTTCAATTTATTATTTCATGCAGTCAAAATGGTGGAGGATGATAGTGGAAATGATACAAAATAATTGGAGAGAATCAGAGGCTCAACATGAGCATAATGATTAGTGTATGTACTATTTCAGCTAAGAGACCATTAATGTGTTATTTATAAACTTGTGTATAGATTTTTTAATTAATAATAAATAATTCTTCTGTGGATAGTCTGTTCTTATACATAGCCACATTCATTCAGTAAAAAATAGCCTCTTCTGTGATCATTTGTACTTCAGTCAGATCAGGCTTAGCTTCTGTCCGTGACTCATGGTCAGCGCACGTCACCTAAACTGAATAGTATCATAATGTAAAAAGAGTTTACCTACACATCGGAAACGTAATCTAACATGTCTGTGATTGCCTTTGATCTATAGTATGCGCAGTGCGCTGTGACTGTTGACTGTCACTTCCTAGCGCCTGTTCGACGTGACCAAGTAGTACTCGTAAGTGGTTAAGCAATTTATCAAACGATGCGTGTAACAAAATATGAATTATTATTATAATTTAATTCGGCTACCGAATTTATTGCCTTAGTAACATTACCTCACCAGTAAATATACCCACAATTAGCATTCTCATATCTCAATCCTTCTCAAAATATTGGTATATCTTTCTTTCTTTACCGACACCTGAGGCCTTCGTTCAGCAGTGGACGGAGATAGGCTGATGATGAAGACGGCACAGGGTCCTAACAGCAAGCGCAATATCGGTAAGCTCATTCTTGGCGTTTCGACGTGGCACAATTTAGGATGTACAGTTGGTATACTAGAAAGTCGCGAGGTTGATATCAGTGCCAGTGGGCATGGTATCTGAGAAGTTTACAGAACAGTGAAACCTGAAAGTAACTTGGCATAATAATCGTAGTAAAATCTTAGCAATCTTGTGAAAACCGAATGTCTTTGCGAAATAATTTTTAATCATATAGGTTCTTTATCCGGCTGTTAGTTCTTTTGCGAACTTTAAGCGTAATCTTCACCATTTTTGAACCGATTTCAATAATTGTTTTTTAATCGAATTCTTAGGAGTGATTTTTTTGTGCTTCTAGAGAGCTAACGAGCAAACGGAAAATGACTAAAGCCTGCCACTCAATAGCGATAAGCGCGTTGCTGGCTTTTGAGGCAGGAGTCTTTATTAGCCTTTAAATAGTTTACTGTAAGGTCAAGGTCACAAAGGTCTCTTTAAGAAGGAGCTTTTGGCCTACCATACCATGCTGGCTAGACGGGGTGGTATGGTTGTTTCAAGTTTTCCTTCTCTTTGCAGTGCTGTTATAATGCAAAGTTTGCTACCTTAGCCGGCTCTTACGACGCTCACGGTATGAATAGGGGTGGTGACATTCCGTTTGCTTAATACGTCACCACACGGAGGTAGCAGTACGCTTCATAAATATTACAATACTTATCAAAATGTATTTAAATTTATTGCATAAATGCGCCTATTTTATGATAAATTAGATTATACTTAGGTACTTTCTTACAAAGTAAACTGTCATGTAGCACTATTGGCACTTTTAAATAATCTATAAGTACCTACGTATTTAAAAGTAGTGCACCAGTATCTTAGAGTTATAGACGCGGAACGGAGACTGAATATAGTCAATATAAACACATCTCTTAAATAGTGTGAAGCGATACATACTGGTCATACTGGAGTTATCAAAGTAAAAGAGTGTCCACGCTTTATTGATTTATATTATTGTGTATATTGTAATGTATATTAGAATGATCTGCTTATCTGCTATTTGTTTTATTAATCTTATGTACGGTACGTACATTATAGTCTGCAACTGGTTTTACGCATAGCGTCACTTTGGGCCCAATTGAAAACCAGGCTTTCGTCTGACACAATGCTGAATCGGTTCCGTTTTTGGCACTGATTTTAATTCGAGCTGCAAAATTGTCAATTAGCTATACTTTTTTTTTATTGCCAAAATAAACATTTTGTCTTTCTTTCTACGTATGTGAAATATTTCCACAGGCGCTTAGTATTTTTGACCATACGGTCGGTGCAATGGTTAAAGTGGTCGTCCTCGCGACTATATCGAGTTTAGGAGATTGGATTTCCATATGATAAGTACAAAAATCCTGATCCTGCGATGGCTGTGTATAAACGATATCCATAAATATTTTTCCAGAGTTTGGTTGTCCTTATGGTTAGGAATTTGTATGTAAATAATGTCTTCCGCAACTGACAGGGATTATTCCTACTGCGGGTATTATTATTTTATTTTATTACAAGTACAGACTCTGCTTAGTTTGGTACTAGAAGGCGTTGTGTGAATGTGGTTGAATAATATTAATATTTATTTTGTGTACCTATGATTTGAAATGTGCCGAATTTTTAATAGGTAAAAGTTAAATAAGGATTTAATAGAAATAGCTGCATTCAAACTCAGTAAACACAATTATGTAAAACTGATCAGAATGACATCATTGACTGTCATGATTTACGTAAGATATAAGTCATATATGAGTCATATATAGCGATCGGATGGCGTAGTGGTTTGTGATACGGACAGCTATTCCAAATGTCGCGGGTACGATTCCCGCTCAAGTCAAACATTTGTCTGCATGAACATTTAATGTTTGTTTTGGTCTGGGTGTTTCTGTGTATAATATGTATGTATTTACAAAAAAAAGTATATATGTATTTATATCAGTTGTCTAGTACCTGAATATGAACGAATGATAGCCTATTCAACAGTAATTATACTTAGTTTCATTTAGCACTCAAACACAAAATTCTATTTTTAATTCTTCTTAGGATACTTTTCGCTTAAATTTGCAAGATGGTGACCTCCAAAAAGATTTTATTGCTCATACATAGGTGACAATAAATTACCAACGGGACCGGTATTGGATGCTGCATGCTTTTTAGATTAGATATTTATGTCAACCTTTTTGTTTAATTATCACGGGACTACAATATCTTCTTCTTTGATAATATTTTAATAAGAATATAAATCTATTATATGATTTTACTAAAGATAAAGTTTCACTAGTGATTGATTCTTAGGCTTAGGCTGTAAAAAATCTCCATTCTACTCTAATAAAAAAGTTAAATTAATTAAAAAAGTTTGTTACGATTCCGAAATAAAAAGGGTCGAAAAAAGTAAGAAGCTAACGTCACACATATGATAGGGATAGGACATAATATTTAAGTCACAAATATAACGGCATGTCAAAGTCACATTTTAGGTCAGGACTATGTCATAATGATGTCATATAATATCACATCTTATTAAGGTCATTAATAAAGTCATTTTTAGGTCATATTTACGTAAAAATGTGATCTCTCTGTGACCAATGTATGAAGTTATATGGAGGTCACTGGTTCAATGGTAAGGTATTCAATAAAATGTAGTGCAAACAAGTAATTGAGCAATCAAAAAGGTTAGGTACGAACTTGCTGTCCATATGTTTCCTAGTTAATAGTTATTGTTATTTTACAACTATAATCATAAATTGTAACTTGTAATAACATCTATATCAGTTTTGTATCTCCTTAGGGTTATCGTGGCAATACATACCGTTTTAATAGACACAATATATTTGTAACTTAGTAAATTAGATGATTATTAAAATCATCACTAAACCGTAAAATGGTAACAGAATAAATATTTTTTTATTGTTTGAAGGCTGATTGCCTAAGTTAGTGAGTGATCTACCGCAGACCTGTATATACGAGTGAGCCTGTAGTTACTTATATCAGCTTTACTTCAACTTTTGTGCACTGGTGTTATGTACGCGTTCTTCCATGTCCTAGACACAAAACCTTCCCTAACACGTGTGTGAACGTGTATAAATAATAATAATAATAATATACCTTACACATTTCACACACGGCCGTCTGATCCCAAACTAGGCAGAGCCTGTGCTATGGTGACCAGACTGCTGATAAGCATACTTATATATTTTTAAATACATACATATCATAGATAAATTACACCCAGACACAGAACAAATGATCATGCTCATCACACAATATTTGTCCTGGGTGGGAATCGAACCCACGACCTCCGGCTTAGCAGTCAGGGGCACTAACCACTCGACCAACAGGCCCGTCCGAAATGATTGTTAGTGACTTAACTAGTCCTTTGGTGTACTTGACATTGAACAATGGCGGTATATGGTCAGGACCAGCGCCTTCGGCTAGATCTAAGGCTCCTCGAGAGCCTAAGCACGGAGTTGACATTTATTTCAATGTCGCCTACATTTAGTGAACTATCAGTAGGGAGAACATTTCCTAGGCTTGAGGTATTTGAGCTTTGGTCTGAAGTGAAGAGGAAATTCGACTGGAAGTACGTTGCGAAAACATCACTAATGGTTTCATTTGTACCATAAGTCTGAACTTCTAAAGACGTAGTGGACGGGAGAGTGTTAGTGCCCTTTTTGTTAGATTTAATGAATTAAATTAATTAATTAAATTATTTACTACACGACATCTGCAACTTAAGAAAAACAACTGTGTAGCCGCTCTTCGTATGCTCCCCCCAGACTTAGAGGGGGAAGGAACTTTGACACAACAAATTCCAGTGGAAACTTTAGTCATTTGACAATTACATTAATATATTTTATTACCCCTTACTTAACATATGTTATTATTGTGGGTTATTTGCTTGCATGCGTCAAATACTACATTGTTCGCATTGTTGTTCCACGTTTGGCTCCAACATTGCCCAATTGAATGGCACCGCTAGTTTTCCATGTAAAATAAAGAACCGCCAAGCAGCTTAAAAACATAATTACTGTTAAAATTATTGTGCTTACGCGTTAAAAGCTTGTACCTCTTCTGAAAGGATATTATTTATTATGGAATCAAAAAATGTATACTAGTTTAGAACAAAAAATATTTTTCGAAATAATTATTTAATAAATACAATAATATTTACATTAGCTTTTAACATATTTCAATATACTTATTACTACTACTTATAAATAACAAAAGTGGCAATAAAACTCTGAAGGCCAATTTTCATAGTAAAAGTTCTAAAAATTATAACATGTATATATTTACATCAAGCTTGTTGACTGTTGCTAATTTATTACATTTGTAAATGCTTCATTGTCACGGTGTCTACACAAGGTCCATCGTGAGCGACACTTAACCCTGAAATATGCGGCATGGCAACACGTAGAGCGCAGCTGTTCACGTACGTTTTACCGTCACTACCACACACTGGGACGTAAATTGCTCGGCACATAAGCACATGTTCTGCAGCAATATTGCATGGACTCGAATGCTCTACTTTCAGCGACGGGTCAAATCTTGATTTTCGGCAATTTAAGTCACACTCATTGGAGTACGTTTTGCCATCACTACCGCAAACTGGCGCGTACATGTTAGGACATATACAGGCTTCGGGCAAAGCCACTTTGGGCAAGGATTCCTGACAGGGACCTAATTTAGCTACCTTGATATCTGTGCCTGAGTCATTGGCAGCGCAATCGAGCAGACACTCATTGCTGTACTCTACCCCATCAGAGCCACACACTGGATTGTAGTTTCTCGTGCAAACACATGACGGGAGTGTCAGTGCTGTACAAATCTGTGTGCCGATGATCAGAAGTACTCCTGTAAGCATACGTTTAAAAACTGCATAAGAAAAAGGAATAAAAAGCGTCACGAAAAGTCGAATGTACGGTTGTTATGTTTTTATTTCTTAAAAACTGATTAGTTTCTAAGAAATTAACAATTTAAATCTACCGATATCATCTCTAATGAGATGTTATCGATAGTTCAAGGGTTACAAAAATGATCAATATTAGTATTTTACTCCCACAAATACTAAAACGCGAAAGTAACTCTGTCTGTCTGCTATGAGTTCACGGCTATAACGCTAAAGCGAGATTGAGAATGAGATTTTGCATGGATTTCAAAGATTCTCGAGAAGGACATGAGCTACTCTTTCCTGTAGGCCTGTTTCCTGTACTGTACTGTTCGTTTATGCGAACTTTTAAACTTTTCATAATATGTAGGTACTTGTAATTATGTTCAGATACGACAATAGAAGTAATCATATAACAGGTAGGTATCTAACAGGATTCTACCAGGTTGTGATCGTAAATAAGGAAGAAGGTTTAAAGTACAAGATATGAATCACTTACCAAGTTTAAAATCCATGTTTCTCAACTGAGGTCTTAACACGCTCTGGTCATTAGGTCGTAAAACAAGAAATATATATCAAATCCTTATCTGGGGTTATCCGTACAACAAAATATTTTAAGGAAATAAAATCATAAATGTCTATAATCAACGTTATTATAAAACTAGAAAGGAGTTTTTATACTGTTGTGTTTAGAATATTCCACTGTACGCTTCTCAAGATTTTGTTTACCTCCCACACCCAATCTGTGAATCAGACGCCTACAGTATTTCCGAACTAAATACGACCTCCAAACCTTTAAGAAAAGAGTTCTGCAACAAAGGCCGACAACGCACTTGTGACGTGTGAGTTGCAGGCGTTCATGGACTGCGATATTTATTTACCTCGTTCAGCTCGTTTGCATAATTATTAAAAAAGAAAGTTAAACCCGTTTTGTTGGACCGAAGAAAGCTACATAGTTCTAATGACATAAGACAGAGTTTTTCCCCAGATGCGAGTATGTTATTTTGCTGTAAATAGTTAAGATTTAAGGTGATTTTGAAGAGATCCTATCCTTTCAACATTTGGTTTTTTGAGCTTAGTTTCTGTTGTTTAAAACTAAGTAAAAGCAAGTGTTGTGACTTATTTTTAATGATCTGGTATTGGACCTAATTATAATTTAAAATATAGGTTCCATAGAAAATAAGTCATCATCATCATCATCAACAGCCTTTAATAGTCCACTGCTGGACATAAGCCTCTCCTTAGAAAGGAGGTTTTGGCCTACTGTACCACGCTGGCCAGACGGGTTGGTATAGGGTTTGTGTCAAGTTTTCCTTCTCTCTGCAGTGTTGTTGTTTTGCGTAGTTTTTTCCCTTAGTTGATTCTTACAACACCCACGGGATGAATAGGGGTGGTGACAATCTGTATTCTTAATCCGTTACCACACGGACGACCATAAGTACTGTTATAGAAATCTGTTATTAAACTCAATTGTATTTTTATTTGAAGATTGTTTGTAAAATAAAGAATTTTCGTTTTTTTCGGCAGTATCAGTAGGCCTTTTTAAATTAAAATTATAATCTTTCGTAAGAGCCGACTAAGGGAGTAAACTACGCAGGACAACATCACTGCAAAGAGAATCATAACTTGTCACAAACCCTATAGCAACCCGTCTGGCCAGCGTGGTATAGTAGGCCAAAACCTCCTTTCTAAGGAGAGGCCTATGTCCAGCAGTGGACTGTTAAAGGCTGTTGATGATGATGATGATGATGAATCTTTCTAAATTCTTTTATTTACTTATTTATACAGTTAAGCCATAAGGAGTTTGCATACATGTACATAATATTCTTAAAACTAAGGTATATCAACTAAAATTACTAAGTGTGTCAACGTATTATTGTGTATTAAACTTTTTAAGAGGAAAAAACCATATAAAAATAATCAAAACTTCAACTCTGACAAATAAAATAAAAACAAACGAAGTTTCGCGAAACTCGACTAGCAATTATTCCGTTTGTAATAATTGTTTGTTTATCCTTAAGAGATTAAAAACAACTTTAACCGACTTCAAAAAATTAGGAGGCTCTCAATTCAACTCTATGTTGTTTGTTACCTTAGAACTCTGAAGTTCAACAAGGTAACAACATATCGCCTACATCGTTAAATGTAACATATTCAAGTAGAACCTGAATTGTCCTCCATTATCAATTTGATCTTTTTATTGATTTGATATCTTGATAAAAATATTTAATACAAATTAGGTATTTGATAATAGATAGTAATGACGTCACAAAATAGTATTTCATACAAAAATAAGGCTGGCGTTTTGATGCTTAAAAAAGATACTGATTTGACTTGATAGTCATCTACCCTATTGAAGAATGAAGAGTACAATTTATTACAATGCATCATTATGTAGGAACATTAAAGTTTTATATAAATAATCAGCGAATCAGCTTGGCAAGTGTACAGGGTGTAAGGGACATCGTAAGGAATGCTGAAATAGTGTATTCAGATGATTCTGAGTCGAAAATCATTGGAATTTTCTACCGGAAAATTCATCATTTTTTTTTATAATTTTCAATTTTTTTGGTTAAGATGATATCACAATGAGTAAGCAGAACATTAAATCGAAAACATTCAAAATTAATAAATACCACATACGGTCACAAGTTGCAATGTAATTAATCAAAAAGCCGAAGCGCGTGGCGCTGGCTCCCCTCCGGCCGTCAACTTGTGTTAGTGTGCGTACACTGTTTGCACGGAATACACATGTAGTTATTACTTTTATGCGATACCAATGAGGAATGACCTTAACCTTTGACAGCTGACTGCATAAAAAGTTTAATTTTCCCGCAGAAAATTCCAATGACTTTAGACTCAGAATGATGGTCTGAATACATGATTTCAGCCAATGTATGAAGTATTTAAAACTTATGCTTTATGCCGACAACTGTCTACAACTTCAAGAAGACTTGAATAGATTTGATCTCTATTGCTTGGCTAATGAATTACATTTAAACTTCACTGCTCAAAGCCAAGAAAATTAATTTTACGTATTCTATTAGGGGTCACCAGTTGCAGCAGATGGATGAGGTCCGAGACCAGAGAGTTTATCACGACTCTAAGTGAACATATGAAAAATATGTAGATTTTATTGCTAAGAAAGCTAATAGGGCATTGGGTTTCGTCCTCAGATCAAGTTCTGAATTTAAAAATCTAAAAGCATTAAAAGTGCTCCATTGCTCAATGGCCAGTAGTATCGTCGAGCATTGCTCGCATGTGTGTAATACAACGTTTACAGGGAGAGACTGGAATCTAGTCAGCGTAGGTTTCTGAAGCATCTGCAGTACAAGTCTAAATAATACGACCCAACTTACGAAGACATCCCATTGTGTGAAAGGAGGAGGATTTCAGATGTCACCTGTCCTGTCAAAATTTCTCACAACGTTATCGATTCACCTATCTTATTATCTAAAATACCAAACAGGATGACATGATGCATATCTAGATACTCCTCGTTCATCAAACTATAGGCAGAAGTCATTTTTGTCAGAGCTTAAGAAATTAAGGGATTGGTTGACTTTCCACAATTAGATCTATTTAACTGCAAATTATACCAATTTCACAGAATATTAACAGATGCATGGTTCTCGGGCTAATATGATTAAACTGTATAACTTTTGCTTATTTTGTTAACATTTCCGTTGTGTCTCTTTAATTTCTCCTTTCATTTATCTTTTACATGAATAGTGTTAACACATGTTCTATCCCTTGTTATACACACTGTATGTTTTCTAAACAAATAAAAAGAAATGTTTCTCCTACGATAGGTTATTGCCTATCATTTCACGGTTTTTGAACATTTAAATAAATATATATTTTCTTTCAGCTAAGCTGATTTCGTACTGATAAGCGACGATAGTAATAAAACATGTAGGTACTTTATTATTATCGTAATAAGTATCTACCTGATTTTAGCCTAAGCTGACGTTAATAAATTTCTTTAATGGATACATTACAATCTCAGGTCCAATTCTTTGTTTTTGGTCTCTATAAACCCTTAGAAATGGACTCAAAAATGTTTTAAATAAAGTTATGTAGATGCATGTATGTATGTTCGCTTAAGTAAAAGACAACTAAGTTTGATTGATAAATTAATAGTTTTAAAAGAATAATTTTTACTTTATCGTTTATTCAAACGTACGTTACGTAACGTAACGTACAATACATAAAATCATTAGAACTCTCCTTAAATACAACCACGGGTTTTTGTAAAAAATCAGTTTCGGCGAGGTTTCATTTGGAAAATAGAACCTCGTCGAAACTAACATTCTATAAAATGACTCAGTGTCGCGCGGTTTATGATTTTTAAATATTAAAAAAAAAACTGACGAAATAGACTTTTAAAAAGACCTTCAGACGGTTGACGTGAGAAATATCTTTGATTTAATTATTATTAAATCTAGAACCATGCAGGACACGGCAGGTTTTGGAAATCTTTGGTAAATAAATATTCACGCTGCAATTTAAAATATTTTAGTATGTGTAGTTTAATATTCTCATAAAACGATAAGAAAAGTTGTATAAAAGATCTACAAATGGCAATGAACTTAACAATGACTCGTAAGTTTACTCCGAGTATAACAGTTACCACAATTTAACACAATGAAACATACAATAGGAGCATCACAATAATGGTGTTATGGTTTCACATCTGACTCCACTTGCGAATCCTTCACTTTTACTTTGTCTTCACAAGGGCCATCGTGCGCCACACTTAATGATGGATCTTGCACCGTGTGAGAGTTCAGTTCACAGCTGTTGCTGTACGTTCGACCGTCACTTCCACATACTGGGAGTAAGATAGCTGGGCATACCAGCACAGGTTCAGTTTTGCACGGACCAACGCGATCTACTTGCAGCGACGGGTTGGAGAGCTTCTGGCAGCGTACCTCACACTCGTTTGAATAAGTCTTGCCATCACTACCGCATACTGGGCTGTACAAATAGGGACAGACGCAGTCCTCTGGTACGACAACTCGGGGTAGGGATCCTTCACATGGACCTTTCTTAGCTATTGTGATTTGTTTGCCTGAGGTATAGACAGCGCACTCTAGGAGACACGGATTGGCGTAATCTACTCCATCGGAGCCACACACTGGATTTAAGTTTCTTGTGCATGTACACGGCGGAAGAGCCAATGTTGTGCAGATATGTGCGCTGATGATCAGCAGTACTCCTGTAACAACATGTCATTATTTAAGGTGCCTGTTGGTCTAGTGGCATAGGTTGTAGGTTTGATACCCAGGTATTAAATAATAATAATATTGTATTAATGTGCCAGGAGCACGATCATTTATTTTGTTTAAAATTATAATAATAATAATAAGCATTGATTTTAAATGTATAAGGTTACACATTAATCTATAAGTATTTAGTAATATGAGTATTTTATCAGTAATCTGGTTACTATATTACAGACTCAGACAGGTCGATCGATTATCAAGTTAAAAAGCATATTGTTTAAAACCCAAAGTAAAATAGGCATAAGTCTGATAAAAAACAAAATTGATTAACTGAGAAATGCTCTACATTAATTGAGATAATCAAAGGCAAGAAATAATTATAAATATATTTTTAAAGACCATAATAAAATTTTGACAAAGAATTGTAAGTTTAAAAAATACGCTTTTGTAACTAGCCGAATAAAAAAATAGAAAAATAATTTTCTATAAGTGCAAAAAAAAATCTTTATATCATTAAATTGCGTGAGGTTCTAGGTCTCAATTGCTGTAAAAATATTTTATTGACTGATATTGGTAAAAGTAAAAACTTAGTAAAACTTATTACGAGTATATGATATAAAATATCTTGATTTTATTTTAAATAATCTTATTCTTTTAACACGCTTTTGCATTTTTAGAAAGTTATTTTCTACTTTTTAGTTCGGCTACTTACAAAATCATGTTTTTTAATTTTTAAACTATTTTTCTTTACTTTTTTGTCATTAATGATGATTATTTTCTCGTAAATACTAAGGCATAAGACAAAAGACACTACCGTATTTTTAGGTATGGAAAAAGATGTTAATCCTGAAGATCCTGATCAGGCAAATAAGACAAATAAGTGTGCGAAGTTTCATTCAAGCTGACGTTTTAAAGTAGAGGAAAATCACTATTCCGTTACATAGATACATACATACTATGTATGCTAATAAAACCGTGTTAATATGTAATTTTTAGGTAAACAAAGATTGTTATTCTATTATTGCACAGTAACTAAACAACTATTCAAAAATTTATTAAGATGGTATCGCTAGTTCAAGGTTCACAATCAGGATATTGAATATCATTCAATATCCTAGATATTTATTGATTCATTTTAAGCGCTAAAACCGTGAAAATAACTATTAAGGCAACAATTTCTGCCATTTTCACATAATTATTAACTTAATAGCACATTTTATCTTTCTGCATTTATTTTACATATATAAACATTTTGTATGCTAATTTGATATGCTGCCGTGCGCCGTATTTTTCAAAACGGGTACAGAGAAATTGCCTCACATATCGATTAAGGAGTAGAAGAACCTAAACCTAATATAATCTTAACTCCCAAAATGCCCGCTCGCTCTATATTTGAAATAAAAAAATTAAAGTTAGATAGATACAATCGGTTGTACAAGCACAAGAAATTTAGTATTACAATCTGAATCGGGTTCTTTCTTGCTACATTTTTAACTAATCTGTGAAATATGTAGCTACTTTTAAAATTGCTGTGGTAAATCTAAATATATCTTTCTTTATAAATCTTTCTTAATAATATAATAAAAAATCTTTCTTTTACCAATATTTGTTTATTGCAATACTTTATTATTACCTACAATAAATAAATATTTTTCATTTTTTTATTTTATTAATTTTAAATTTTAATTTATTTTAACGTTAAAGCTTGAACTTTTTTGATATTAGATGTAGGTGTACCTAGTAGGTGCTAAATTTAGTATTGATACTTAAAATCAATCATTTCCCGAGTTTTAAATTAAGATGTTTGTCAATTGAATACGCCCAAATACTTTTTATACTTTATTTTAAAACTAAAATGCCAAAGTAAAGACAGAATAAAAGACAAAAAACACTTACCGATTCTTAAATCCATGTTTCTTAGGCAAGTTCTAAAGACGATTTACTCGTTTGACAAAATATGATCATTTATATTAAACCTTTATCTATCAAGGTTATCAACACAACACAACGTTCTCAGATGTTTTGAAACTTAATCAAATGTTTTTTTGGGTAAAACTATAGGTACAGTAGTAGGAATTTAGATAAGTTGCAAAGAGAAAAATTCTATATACACGTGTACAATAAAATGAATCAGAATCAGATCCGACTGATAACTGAGCAAGATGGCAAACTACTGTTGATGGACGCGGTTTCTTTAGTTTTGACTGGTTACGGCTATGACAAACACATGCTTTTGTGAAAGTAATTTATCTCGTATTCGTATACATGTGTTTATAAAAAGAGACACTATGAGCGAATGATTAATCACGAAATCTTGAAAGTTACTCAACCTATGAAGATAAAATTTGGCAGGAAGCTAATTTATAGGTGGGAGACGTCATCTATAAAAAAACTAGGGACTTGAAATTCAGCTGGTAGATAGTTTAAAGACCGCCTAAACACACGTCAACTAACATCTTATACAGGACAGGACCATGGACAGGACATGCAAAATTAATACGAAAAATTAATTTTTAATTTTATTCAAGTTTGATTTGCGAATACGGGTAAAAAATAAATCCATACAGGGTTTTGTTGTTCACAATTAGGCATGAAAAAAAAACTGTTTGAAATTATACAGCGTTCTTTAAATAAAAATGTACTAGTCTTAGGGCCGGTAGTAGTTAGCTGGTCAATCCCTTAGATAAACATTATATGATAGAATTTATTCCATGTTAGCGTAATTTTGGATTTTTCAATGTCTGAAGAACAAAGCTTGAATCAGAGGAATAACTTTATCTGTCATTTCACGCCTCAGTTAGTGATATTATCAGTAGAATAGCGAATTTGACTTTTGTGTATTTGCTAACATTCTCTAATATTTGTTGTAGTAAAGTTTATATACGTTGCCTTTATTGAGTATTTAAATAAAGGGGAAAAGATAATTATGACAATACTTTTTGTGTTGATGAACAATTTCATTACAAGTTCATAGCAAATGCAATTTCTTGAAATTTAATACTAATTTCTTAATTGATTCTATTTGATACGAAAGTAACAGAAAAAATAATCCCGTTTTCCTCATGGACCAACTATGAATATGTTCTTAATGACACAACTATGCACAACTAAGCACAAATGATTTACTATAACCATTCCTTTTAGCACAACTACAGGAGGAAATAAATAAGATTATTACTAACCTCTTCAGATATTGATGATTATGTTGGCCACTTCTGTCATATCTTTGTATATTAACAAATAGAAAATTATAAATGCCATTTCATGTCATTTATTATCAGTAATTATTTAAAAAATATTGATATATTATTTTCGTGCATACGCTGGCGAATATCCTGACTGTAAGCATGTCTATGTCTACGCCAGAAGACGAAGAACTTATAACCATAACGATGAACCTTTGTATACCCATTGTAATTAGTTGTGTATCTAGGAACAAATATTAATTGAAAATTATTTAGTTGTGCCAATAGGAATGATTTAAAAAAAATATTCCTCATGACACAACTAGTTGTGCATACATAGTTGGTCCATGAGAAAACAACGAAAATAATAATATTCTATACTACATTTACACAGCGCCATCTAGTCCCAAACTAAGAGCAAAGACCTTGTATTATGGGTACAACTGATATAAATACATATACTATTTTTTTTTTGTAAATACTGTCATATTTTACAATGAAACACCCAGACAAAATTTGAAAATAAATGTAAATGTATACTATTCGAATAGCAGCCCGTTACACAAACCACTATACCATTGTTCACCATCACTACCTTCGTCAATAAGGTTGTCTTATTACCTGACAGACAAGCAATGACAGGAGAAGAATGACACCAATGTTGTGTAATAGCTTGTGATCCTTATCTAACGTGTTACTTACTGTATAGCTGCATCTCACTTACGCATGTTAACAGTGAACTTGCTATGAAAGACCATCAAGTAACTATCTGTCTGTTTACACCGGATTGAAAAACAGAAAAAGTTTATTCGCTTGAGTATAACTAAGGATTGAAAAAGCGGCCCTTCAAATGCAAAATATTGCTGTCATGGTTTTTTTTTTATATGTTAGAGGGGGCAGACGATCAGGCGGGTCACCTGATGGAAAGTGACTATCGCCGCCCATGAACGTCTGCAACTCAGGAGTCACAAACGCGTTGCCGGCCTTTAGGAAGGAGTACGCTCTTTTCTTGAAGGTTTGAAGGCCGTATCGGTCCGGAAATACCGCAGACGATAACCTGTTCCACACATTGGTTGTGCGGGGTAAAAAGTGTCTCGAAAAGCGCACAGTAGTGGAGCGCCAACTATCCAGGTAATGAGGATGAAAATTTTGCCTTGTGGAACGATGGTGGAAATTTGCGGCTTGGATTAGTCAAAGTATTTAATAGTAATTCTACAAAAATGTCATGAAATATTAACAATTTGTGCTATTTAGGTATGTTTGACAATACTAGGTACAATTTATGTTCTCGTCTAAGTATTCTCTAAAAGAGACATTTGGCTACAAGCGTTTCCCGAAAACGTCTCTTAAAAATTCAGGATTATTTTTTATAATTAACAAAGATAATAAAAGATGTTGTCTGTTTTATTTTATTTATATCTAACAGGTATAATAAATATGAGGTACGATACAGAAAAACCTGTTTGTATGAGAGCCGTTTTACTCATCACTATGGAAAACACGTCCACGTGAAGGACCCTTGATCGTTTTTGAAATATCTGTAAATCCAAAACATCACTCACCCTCGACGATGTACGGTACGAGTACATGCAAGATAGCATACATAATAGGTTGACCTATGAACTTGGAGATTCATAGGATGATGCCTCGCCATGGAGTAACTAAAAATTCGTACAATTTTCGAATATGTGTTCCTACGTGGAAATACTAGTGCGCAAACAACACGAAACATCATCGACGTGTACGGGCCTAACCCTGCTTGCATAAACACGGTCCATTATTAGTTCAATCGTTTTGGATCTGAAAATGTTGAGTTGAAGAACGAGCCTCGCGATCTACTGGTAACTATAATTGACAACGACGAATCTACAGCTCATCTTGCTGCTTGATGAAGTTAGTGTCAAAACAACATTGAAGCACTTGCGTCAAATCGGCAAGATAAAAAAAACGCACTAAGCGACCATCATCGAGACTTACGCGTCGAAGCATGCATTCTGACTGGAATTGTTCCTTGCAATGAAATTTAGATCCTGCACGACAACCGTGAGTTTTCACCTCAGCGATTGGCACTGGGTACAGCACCTAAACAGTGTGCTAAAAAAAAGATTACCCATAGGAAGATGATGGTGACTGTCTATTGGACCAGTGCTAGACTTGTACATCACAATTCAACAACCACAACTGGTCTATCCTATGGTCTTCCTCATCACTTCTCCACGACAACGCGCGAGCTCACACTTCACGACAGACCATCGCAAAGCTATAAGAGTTACACCTGGAAGGTCTCCGTCACCCACCGTACTCACAGGACCTTGCCCAAACAAATTTATACTTTATTCAAAATTTATACCATTATTTAAGTGGGGAAAAAATTTAACACCCGAGAGGCAGTACAAAACGCTTTCATTGACAACATCTCAAGTAGACCTGTTCATCAACAGATGACCATGCTGTTGTCTATTCTAATCGAGGCATACTTATGGGATATTCCCATTCATTCCAATCTTTAAAATAATATGTATATACATATATATGGATATATACCGTTCTTATGGATTTATGGGAAATCACTGAAGAGCTTCAGTATCTTCTTGGATCTATTATCAGAGCAGGCTCCAAGATGTTAGGAGTTTTGGGGCTTTATATACTATCTTTCAAACACTACATTTGTTTGAAAGCCGTTAGTTTCATTTCGAGATGACAATTTAACGGTAGGTTAAAATTTGTTTCCAAAAGTTTTACATTTTATTACATACCAAGGTAGTGGTTTTATTAGTCAGTTAGTTAGACTATAGTTAGTTTACTGTTTAGAACAGTAATGATGTTTTTTTTGTGTGATTTGTTAACAAAATAAAAATCGGTTTAGCTTTTAAAATATATCTTTAACTGTTGAAAATGTTACAAAAAATTCAAAATTAAAACAAAACACATTTCCAAAAGTGACAACAAACTGCATCAAAACAAATGACACTTGAATATTTTAGAAATACATTTTTATAAATTTGGTTAATCTTTAAGCACAGTGACGCAGGATCCAAGAACTTTGAATTGTCCTTCGTAGCAGATACAAATATCAACGTCATTCCTTCACTCACACAAACAGGCTTTTTGTCAACGTACGCATTTTAAAGTGCTGATGAAGTTAACAGGGACCGGAACGATCTACTTTCAGTGATGGATTCTCTGATTTGTGACAATTCAATCTACACTCATTGGAGTACGTTTGACCATCACTGCCACAAACGGGCGAGTTTTCGTTGTCGCATATGCATTCTTCGCATACAACCACTTGAGGTAAGGACCCTACACATGGACCGTACTTAGCTAACGTGATGTTTGTTCCAGACGTAAAAGCAGCACATTTGAGACGGCACGGATTACTGTAATCCTCTCCATCAGAGCCGCACACCGGGTTTAAGTTCCTTGCGCACACGCACGGCGGGAGCGCCAATGTTGTGCAGATATGTGCGCTGATGATCAGCAGTATTCCTGTAACAACATGTCATTATTTATTGTGCCTGTTGGTCTAGTGGCATAGGTTGTGGGTTTAATACCCAGGTATTAAATAATAATAACATTGTATTAATGTGCCAGGAGCACGATCATTTATTTTGTTTGAAATTATAATAATAATAATAAGCATTGATTTCAAATGTATAAGGTTACACATTTATCTATGTATAAGAATTTAGTAATATGAGTATTTTTATCAGTAGTCTGGTTTTCATATTACAGACTCAGACAGGTCATGTGTGAGATGTTTCACTTAAAAAAAAAAAGTCTTTATTGGACACAGTTTGATTCTAATTTCGCTATACATATAGTATTTTGATCTCATTCATCCGTGTGGTGACGGATCAAGAATACAGAATGTCACCACCCCTATTCATCTCAAGGGTGTCGTAAAAGCCGACTGATGTAGCAAACTACGCAGCACAACAGCACTATAAAGAGAAAAACTTGAAACAAAACCTATTCCAACCCATCGTGGTATAGTAGGCCGAAACCTCCTTCCTAAGGAGAGGCCTATGTCCAGCAGTGGACTGTTAAAGGCTGTTGATGTGAAGATGATGATGTGGGATATAGTAAAAAACATCAATGAAAATTTTAGATCAGTTCATATACCTAAATTAAAATTATCTACCTAATTATAGTCCATCAACGTCGTGCGCGACCGTCCTGCGGGGTGACAGACGGTGGCGGGGACGAGGTACTCAAGATGTCAGCGGGTAGCGGGTGGTTTAGCGGGGAAGGGTAACGCTGCTCTTCGTGTGTAGCCGTGTGCTAGAATGACGCGCTACCTCGCCCTCGCCACTGTCTGTCACCCCGCGGGACTGTCGCGCACGAGATTGCCGGGTTATAGACACCTACAAAAAGAAAACTATAATAATTTATAGTTAATTTAAACCTAATCATTATTGAATATTAAGTGCATAAGTTAAAATGTCCGTGTGGTGACGGATTAAGAATACAGAGTTGTCGTGGGTGTCGTAAGAGCCGACTAAGGGAGCAAACTACGCAGGACAACAGCACTGCAGAGAGAAGGAAAACTTGACAAAACCCTATACCAACCCGTCTGGCCAGCGTGGTATAGTAGGCCAAAACCTCCTTTCTAAAGAGACGGCTATGTCCAGCAGTGGACTATTAAAGGCTGTTGATGTGATGTATAATGTATACATATTATTTTCATGTATGTATACATATTTATTTATTGTATGATTATAATCGTTAATGGTTTAGAGAAATGTTACATTATGTCAGATTTCTTTACAGATAAATCAAGTATATTGCGTTCAACGCAATAGAAAAACTCTAAATAATTAACAATATAAGTTTTAAAACACTTACCAAATTTGAAATCCATGATTCTTATTTGTGGTCCAAATACACACTAACCATTATGTCTCAAAACAAGACCATATATCTTAAGTCTTTATCTCCTTTAGGTTATCAAAATGCAAAACAGTCTACTTAGTAAGAACATGCATGTTTAAGAATCTCCAACCAGGGCTGGGGATAATTTATAAACCTATACCTTCTTTCTTTGTAAATTCTTCCATGTAAACGGGGAACCTGGGCAATCTTATGAGTTTTTTTTTATTAAACTATAATTTATTATGATTTCGTAAAACAAAAACTTATAAAAACTTGATACTTGTACAAAATGCTCACGAACGGTGATAAATAATGCAATCGAATAAAAATAGACAATATAAATATATTTTTCTAATTTGCACCTTATAAAGTTAAATTTTACAGAGTCTGATGTAGTTAAGTAACGGCCAGAAACAATGGATCGACAGAGCATATGTTTTTGACAACTTGTGGCAAGTTCATGCTTAAAATGATGGGTAAAAAGACTATAAAAATCTTTACGTAACTATTGAATAAACTATTCACATCTGCAACCAGCTTTGGTCAATCGGTCGTCCCCACTGCTCCTTCACGACAACGCGCGACCCCATACTGCGTAACAGACAGTCTCCAAGCTGCAAGAGCTGGGGTTGGAAGCTCTCCCTCATCCGCCATACTCACCAGACCTTGCACCTACCGACTATCACTTTTTCCAAAATTTAGACAACTTTTTAGTAGGTAAAAAATTCAATTCCCGAGAGGCAGTACAAAATGCCTTTGAAGAGTTTGTTGCTTCCCGTCCAGCTGATTTTTTCAAGAAGGGCATCAATAAACTGCCAATGCGTTTGCAAAGATGCGTCGATTGCATGGGTGATTACTTCGAATAACAGAAATAAAAAAGTTTGAAAAAATAAGTACTTTCACTTATTGCATACAAAACGGCAATTTCATAGGTAAATAAATAAAAAAATAAATAAAAAAACCCATTATGAAAAAGCGAGCAAATGCAATACGGTTTCGTTTAGAGCAATTTTCATAGCTTATTCCTTCCAGATCAACTACGCCCACTTTCTATTTGCATAAAGTTTGTAAACATGAGAAAAGTAAGAGTAGTCTAAGCTTAATAGCTGTGAAATTTGTTAAAATAAGAACATAAAATACAAGCTTATTTGTAAAATATTTTAATAATTTTCAAAATATTAGTAACAATATTATAAAATGGTAACAAAGTGTTTCAGTAACAAATTTTTTTTATATTGTTTTTTTTTATGGTAAAAGGGGGCAAACGAGCCGACGGGTCACCTGGTTGTTAACAACTACCGCCGCCCATGGACACCTGCAATTCAAAAGTCACAAGTGCGTTGCCGCCCTTGGAGTCCCTCCCGCTCGAGTCAGCGGGAGGGGGATTTGGGCTCCGGTAACCTCACTCACTCAGTGAAAGGCAACGAAAGAATTGCTTAACACCGGTTTTCTGTAAAGCCGTGGTATCACTCCGGTCGAGCCGGCCCATTCGTGCCGAAACATAGCTCCCCCACGGTAAAAAGATGTTAAAGAAGATCCTTCCCCTTAAAAAGTCTTGCAGTGTCTAATTTTGTTATAATTTTACATTTGCTTTATGTATAAATACTTTATTTTGTAAAACAAACCAACGCGGTAACGCCGGGTTCTCAAAGGCTATTGTTCAATTCTTTTTCAAGTAAATTTATTTTGAATATCGAATCAGTTAAGTCAAATTATACTGCTAAATCTTATGTCAGTGCCATTCGAATGTCATGAAGTAAATATTTTTTCAGAAACTGCAACTGACTTGGCACCGCTGTCAATTTGACAGCTTAATTAATCGATAATTTTTTCAACAGCATTTCAGAGACTGGATGTAGGTAACATCAGTAATAAATTAAAACATAAGGTTTGAAAATGCGTCATATTTCTGTTTATATGCCGGATATCATGCTACTATTATATTATTTGTTAAATATGTGAAGTCTTAACATTTACAACTTTTTCTAAGTTGCCATCCTTTAAAAAGTTTTCATATTACACTGATTTTTTATTATTACAAGGAGGTCTCTATACGTTCACACGGCCAGTACAACGACCTTCATGATGGAACCTCAATCCTGGCTTTGATTTCATTGTACAGTTTAGCTCGCATTTGTTGCCGTACGTTCTGCCGTCACTGCCACAAACTGGGCTGTATATAAAAGTACACACACAGTCATGCTTCTGAAGACTTCCACAAGGGCCACGATGTTTAACCCTCAGAGATTTGTTGTTTTTGGATCCCTCACAGTTCATAATACACTCGTTGTTATAAGTTTGACCGTCGGTGCCACACACTGGTGATAAGTCATCAGTGCATATACAGCTGCTTGGTGGCTCATCACAGGGCATCATCTTGACTATTTTGATTTCTTTTCCTGATTCGGTGGCAGCGCAGCGGAGGAGACACGGATTACTGTAAGTGACTCCGTCGGAGCCACACACTTGGCGGCTTTCCCTCGTGCATGCACAAGCTGCAGCAGTCAGTGTGACGCAAATCTGAGCACTGATAACCAGCAATGCTGCTGAAACAGACAAAGAAACAGTCAAGTTCACTATCATAGTTGACGTTAAATTAGGATAGCGAAGTGCGAGTTGAATGGTCGGATTAAAAATGTTTATGTAAATTGTTTTTCTGTTCTCCCGTTTGGTTGTGTCATACAACTATAGGTCCAGACAATAACAAAGGCAGAGATCGTCTTATATTTCAATGAATATCAGTTTACTGATGACCCATTCACCAAATCTTTGCGGTGTAATCAAAGTAGGTATGGCCCTGATTTCTTGACCAATGACTTAATGACTTTTGAGTTGTAATGCCTAAACTTATAACTATTTTAGTAAATAAAACACTTATTTTTTCCTTAAATTAGACAATCTATACCTCTATCCTATACATAAATTTACAGCCATAAGTAATTTAACACAGATGTGTTACTGTAAACATACTTAGATAAGTATTCTGGGACACTAACCTGGGCATCTGATTCCCGAGTTCTGTCATTAACAATGATCGAGGCATAATAAAAATAAATACAGTGAAACTATAAGATTAAGCTATTAAAGCACGACACACATTTCATATCATTTTAAATTCTAGTACAAAATCATATTGTACATCGCTTCTATGAATAAAATTGTTTGAATAAAACTCGAGCTATTGTCTATATTCCCCCATCCTTTTTTTGTTGGTTTTCGAAAGAAAACAATAATTGCTCTAAATTTCGGTTAGGTTAGAACAGTAACCATTAAAGATCCCCTCTATTGTTGGTGAAACATGTCTGTTTATTGACATTTAACATATATTTGAAGTAAATCTTAAGATGTACCAAGTGAATGGTGGTAAATGCTCGAAGTTCGGACTTTCAAAATAACTGGTTGGTAAATCTTAGGTTTTACCTGTAAATCTTAGGATTTACCATAGTTAAAAATTTTAAAATAACATTTAAACACTCATGTGATATGGTACATACACTACAAATATACAAACTTTTACTTACTTACTTTTACTCGTAAATATCGTCTACGGGTTAAGGTTGACTTATCAGAATATCGTAATGTTCTTTATATTAACAAAACAAATAAACATCACATTTGTTTTAACTATTTCAAAATCTTCCGACACGATATCTGGTATTTTTATATGGAATTCATTTGAATGTTTATTTATTCTGTCCCCTCTGCTACAATGAATAAGTCCTGTTTTTTCAATTAAACGTATAAAGATACTGTACGTAACAGTTACTCCTGGATTTTGAAACCTTTCAACTTAAAAGCATTTGTATTTTAATTAAATTTATTAATTTCTGATTTTTTATAAACAAATCGAAATCAGCATTGGAAATGGTTTCCGTTTTTTTTCTGGCTAATCATGAAATCAAGTTAAATTAACAAGAAATAAAGTAGCGAAGTAAAATTAACCAAACCAACTTATTAAAAAAAAACAAAAAAGACGATAAAAAACAAAAGAAAAACCTATATTGTGAATGATACGAATAAAAGAAAAAAAACGATTAGGTTATAAATAATAAAACGCTTACCAATTTTGAAAGCCATGTTTTTAAAGTATCTGTCGATAGAAGATAACACAATTTATTAATTTTAGGTTTTAAGAGGAGATAGTCCGTGCGAAGCTTGTGAATAAAATGATGCATTGCGATCGGTAATCAGGTTTTATACTTTAGAATAGTATTTTCCAAGATGCAGTGAGTAGTGAGTTAAGGTTGAGGTACACTGTAATTCCCCATTGCTATATTGTGACTACGCGTGCGTCAGCGCCTCTGCATTTATTTCATGACATTTGTAGGTATTGTTTCCTTTGCCATCGGTGTAAGAAATATCGTGAGAAACAAAATTATCAATCAATGGTTCCTTCCTATGTTTGTACTGCGAGGCGGAACGACGCCATTTAATAAATATACAATTCATGTTTGATGATGTGCTGTCCGTGTGATTACAGATTTAGAATACGGAGTGTCGCCGCCCACCACTATTAACCCGTGGATGTCGTAAAAGCCGACTAGGGAGTAAACTACGCAGGACAACAGCAATGCAAAAACAAGTAAAAACTGAAACAAACCTTATACCAACCCGTCTGGCCAGCGTGGTATAATAAGCCAAAATCTGTCCAGCAATGGACTATTAAAGGCTGTTGATGATGAATCACTGTGTTTTCAATGTTGGGTCAAAATAAAAACACATAACAACTAGGTATGTTTTACATTGTTGTTTATATAATTATATTGACTAAAAATGTTATAGAGAATAGTATTAAATAGACGGGCCTGTTGGTCTAATTGTTAACTGCTAAGTCAGAGGTCGTGGGTTCGATTCCCACTTAGGACAAATATGTCTTAGTGGAATTTATTTATAATATGGTATGTATTTAGTAAAATATAAGTATGTTCATCAGCAGTCTGGTTACCATAGTAAAGGCATTGGGATCAGACAGCCGTGTGTGAGATGTGTTAAGTTATTATTATTATATTACCGAAGACCGTAATTGATTAGTTACGATATATTTCTTATATTATTTCTTATAATGATTAAATTAAACAAGTTGCGATAGCCGACAGACCGAAAAAATACAAATAGAAGTCTTCATAATTTTTTTAAGGCACGTCGAAGTCAAACATGCATACAGCCCGCCAGGTGGTAAGCGGTTTATTAATTAGTCTATGCCCGCATCGAAATTCTGGAGATTACCCTAATTCTGGGGAAAAGGGGGGCACGAGCTTCGATGCACTTGGGTTTCATGTGTTTCAGGACTCCATTGGCGGCGATAATCACTTGCTTATTAAAAAAACCTATTCGTATTTTTATTATTATACATTATGAAGTTTGCTGTGCCAATGATTTCAAATTAGCCGAAGCCTTTCCTTTTTTTTTCAAAGAAGACAACTAGGAATATATTCTGTGTCTAAGACTTTACAGACATACATAAAACGAACACAAAGAACACCCATACTCAGAACAACAATTTGTGGATCACACAAAGTGTTGTACCATTTGAGGATCGAACCCAAAACACTGAGCGCAGTAGGGAGCTTAAAGCACTACGCCATCCGTGCACTCAAAAAAGTCAATTTATATAATTCAACTTATATAGTTCAATTTATATAATTAAACACGTAAAACTCAGGTTCAGATTAGACATCTCATTCTCAAATTCAAGTCATCAATTCTTTTTTTTAATTCCATTGCCTGTTTATTGATTAAGGATGTATTATCTATCATTGCGGAGCAGTGACTATTAATAACTGCAAGGATGTGTGGCGGATTAAGAATACGGAATGTCACTACTTCATTCATACCGTGGGTGTCTTCATACCGACTAAGAGACCAAACTACGCAGGACCACAGCACTGCAGAGAGAAGGAAAACTTGACACAAACCCGTCTGGCCAGCGTGGTATAGTAGGCCAAAACCTCCTTTCTAAGGATAGGCCTATGTCCAGCAGTGGACTGTTATAGGTTGTCGATGGTTGATGGATGATGGAACATTTCTCGGAAGAATGTTTGAAACAGGGGCTAATTTCACATACTTCACATACACGATTGTCTCGGAAAGAGTTCTTTTGATTCATGTAATATAAAACGTATTGTATCTCCTTTTCGGCAGTATTGTGATCGAATTAGACAAAGTAAAATACAGTTATTGCCTGAGATTAGGCTCACGAGTACTGTCATCAGGATCACCAAAATTATGGGAATAAGTAATTATAAGGATTGTTTCCAGACGTGTCAGTTCTCTGCAAGTCAATTTCAGTGTTCGCAATATATCAAAAGCAAAGTTTTGGTTAATTTTTTAATAATATTTAATTTTTTATTACGTTTCAGACTCTCCTTAACCTGTTTTAAAGGATATTTTATTTACGTCAAGCTATATTTGCTTGAATTTGATAAAACTTTATTTCTGTAACATGTCCTAGTCATCTATTTTCCAATTTAGTAATTCAGTAACAATGAGTAACAGTAGGCGGCTTTTATTCAATACAAAATGTGAATTATGTGTAAACTAATTCATAGAAATGACTGCACACATGGCGTAGTGGTTTTAGCCGTCGCCACGCCGTTCCTACTGCGGCGCGTGTTGTGGGTTCGATCCACACATGGGACACCACTTTGTGTCCACAAATTGTTGTTCTCAGTCTGGGTGTTCTTCGTATTCGTTTCATGTATGATTGTAAAGTCCTTTGCAACACAATATATTATCTTTATTTATATATTGTCTTTTTTTTAAATAAATAAACAAAACAAAGAAATAGTTATAAGTGCATGGTGTATAACTGTTTAACTTTTCAGCCGATGGTCATGGTTTCTTTATTTTTATTCTTTTCGTACACAAAACATACAGGTAACCTTAACAAACCAAATAAAGAGAGAAGAGAAGACAGGATATTTGCACAACATGAGAAAGTGGGGTGTACGTAAAAATTAAAGAAAATAGAAATATACAACTAAATATGTAGAGAAATAGAAATACACAAAATAACGAAATATAATGTAAATAAATTATAATATAACATAACACACACTACCTGTACAACATTGGTTCTAAAAAGCAATGCTAACACCGGGTTTTCATGAGACCGTATCATCACTGCTGTTAATCTGGCCTATAATGACGAAGCATGATTCTCACACGATATAGTTAAACTATTACAAATAACCAATATCGATCGTTACGACAGGAAATACTACTTCAAAGAATGCTCTATTGTTATTTTTTATCTTCGACATTACATTAAATGGACAGGCGGCGCTAGTGCCCATACATTATGTTCACAGATAAATAATACAATTTTATTTCAATGTAAAGATTAAATATTAACAGAACATCTCCTTGTAGCATCATTCTTGTTAAAGTCGTAGATTTTCCTGCTTTTGTAAAGATAATTACTTAACTATTTACTGTAAAAAAATAAAAAAAATGAAAGCAATTAAATCTGTGTGAGGATTTTTATGTTATGTTTTTTATGTTGAGCCGACAATAAGGAATTATCATATTTGCATATTTGTAATCCGGTCAACAGGATAATAAATAATTTACCTGTTTCCTAAAAATTATGAGTTAATCCTTACCTTGTCGTACTTACGTCGAAGGGGACGGATGAAAATGGTACTACTAATTTATAAATGAATAAACAAAATTTATAATCAAAATTGTTTGACAAACAGGAGGAAAGACGCTTTTTAGATAATTAATTGTTTTGGTCCTTATTTTATGATTAGATAATTTTAAAAAAGTAGGTATATTACTGTTAATTTGAAACTGAAGTAACACCAATTTTATTCTGAGGATTTTGTATTATCTACGAAATTATGACTATTAGATTAGTCTGACACTATCAGAGCTTAAAACAAACAGATTCTGACTACCGAGTTACAAAAACAGTATCACAACCCCAAATTTTTTGAAAGACCTATCCAAAGACTCCTAACCTATTATTCAATTTATTAGAAAAACCTATTATTCTAGTCTGTTTGTTATGTCAAAATAATAGGTTTTTTTTCGTGCTCACGCGGTTATTACCACGATACCTATGCCTAATGCCTCCGTGTGGTGACCGATTAAGAGTACAGCGTGTCACTACCCCTATTTGCAGTGAGGGCATTCCCTAGGGAGCAAATTACGCAGGACAACAGCACTGCAAAGTGAAGGAAAACTTGCAACAAACCCAAATCAAGGATGATGAATCAATGAAAGTATTTTATTCTTTTTTTACCTTATTTTTTTACTACGAACAAATAAGTACACAAACATTTTGTTTCAAATAAATAACTCATTTATTTGCTCTGATTCATAAAAAAGGGTTTTAGACTAAAACAACGTAAGTAGAATGAATAAAAAGAAAATCCAATGATGCAATTTGGTAAAAATTCTTTAAAGAAAGAAAGAACGAAACAAATTTATTCGTTGACGTAAGAACGTTAACGTAATACGTTCTATGTTAAGAGTAAGTGACATACACTCACAATATAAAGGTAACTTAATACTAGGCTTTAGCGAAAATACATTTTTACGTGTAGGTACCTCACGTGCCAGTCGAATAGGACCTGGTTCAGTGTCTGCTTAACAGATGTCAAGCGCTGGTTTTTAGCTAGACCTTTTTTTAACAAGCGACTAAAGAAAATCTCTCATTAGCTTTATTACTTCCCTTATTTCACATATGTATATAACCGGAGTAATGCCACGGGCTGACAGAAAACCGGTCTTCTTTTGAGGCTTTTCACCGAACGAGCTGTGTTTTTTTACGTGTGGACTGATGTGCCGTTTGCGATATCGCACTGAGCGTCGCTGCACAGCTCGTCACGGCGCTGCGCGTCAAAACATTCTTCCGGAAGCAATATTATTGTGCTGCGACTCGCAGGGACGCCCAACACTATACAAAACTACAAAATGACCAAAATAATATTTTCACGCGTCGTGCCGCGCCGTGCAGTGGCGAACAGCGCTGCTTAAATGCGGTGCGACCATAATAATAATAATTAAATAGCAGTGGTTTTGTAAATCAGTTACAGGTGTGATGATATGATTTATGAATCACGTGATTT